AGAGAAGGAGAAAAAAGTTAAAAAAGAAAATCCTTATCATTTCATCAACATAATGATTTGCATAAAAATATTACATGAAATATTTGACGTTAAATAAGTTTTTTTCTTATTAAGTAATAATGAAATATTTGTTGAATTTATATTAGCACAAAAAGAAGAGTGCTTTCAAATAAAAACGATTTACACAACATAAATTTCATCATTACCATACAAGAAGTAGTAGAAAGTTTTTTAATAACCAAACAATTTATAGTTAAACTAAAAAGCAATCAAAAATTTTATAGATTATTACGAACAGCAATTTAAAGAACTGATTTTGCATAATTTTTGAATCATTCTCAGAATAAATGTTATTAAAGGGATGATATACATTACATACAAGTGAACCACAGTTAGAGAAACTTCAAACAGCTATTTTTTTTAACTCTCATCCTTCGCTCTACTTTTTTACAACAGCTATATCAATAGTTCCTTAAAGTAGTCATTAAAATAATTTCTGACATAGCATTTGATATATCACTTTTCAAAAGCTAATCATACTCTCAATTTCATCTCACACCTTAAGCAGTAATTCCAAATCACGTCCTCACAAATCAAAAAATATTTTTTGTTCGTTTTTCCGGTTCTATGAAACTTTTATAGTTGAACTGCTATAATTTCTCTTAACTAACATTAAATTTAATCCCGAAAAAGAAGAATTTGTAAATTAATAAGATGTGACCCCATTTTGGAATAGAAAAATTCTTTGTTAAAAACCAATTTATTTTCCTCCATCACCACCACCTAATGGATGAAAACGTTGCTCAACATGCCCTCGACAATGTTCCGTTTCACAATCCTAAAATATCAAACATTTGTGTTGTTCAAACATATGCACTCATGATATATATATATATATCTTTCAAAAAATATTATTTATTTATTTTGGAAAAAGTTTTTTCAATATCAATTTTTAGTGTGGCTCTCTATTAACAAAATATTCTGCGATGAGAATTTTGAAAGAGATTAATATATTGAAATGCAAAGAGAGATTAAAAACAAATATCGTTTTCAATAAATGCTATTCATACATTTACTGAGCATTTGAGAGAGGGATTCATAAATAATTTTAATTATAATAATCACTCAACCACCAAAAATAACCGTTCTTACAAATGATATTATAAATTTAAACAGCCTTACAGTAAGTAAGCAAATGTGAAAGAAACATACAGAATCAGAATCGCTGTCAGAACTTTCATTCCATTTCTTTGGTTTCTTGTAAATACAACAACATTTCGATTTATACCTACCCAAGAATTCATTATCTATTGTATCTGCAGACCAACGCACGCTATAAAGATAAATTATTTTCAACAACAAAGAATTACGTTCGTGTTGTAGATATGCTTGAAATTAAAAGCATATGACAATGAAATTGATTAAATTACCTTTTATCTATTAGTTGAATTTGATCTCAAAGTTCATTTTTGAAGCCTACTAATCTTTTGAGACAGAAAAATTACCGTGGTTCACGTGATAATTCTGGAGAGAGAGTAAGGTGTTGTACTGCAATCTAAAATAAATGTGTGTCATAAAAATGATAAAAAAGTATAAAACACAGTACTCAATTATTTCATATTAAAAATTATAAAGTGTTCTACAATAACATAACCTAGCAAAGATCAAATAATAAATCATAATCTAATAAGAACTTCAATACTCGCATTCGTCTAACTGTACCATCAGCTGTTTCAAACTATTTAGACCCGAGAAGCACAAATTTCAATCTTTTGAAAAATAATGCAAATCTTTTGAGTGATGCTTAATTACTTACTATAGTAACTTGTAATCCAACAACAACTTTAATGCAGCAAAAGAAAAAAAAAAAGACAGCAAAAATAGTGAAAAATAAAAAGACATTGCACCATCAAATAGTACCGTCTCTAAAATTATAAACTATAATTATATCAATGCAAAAAACTATAATTATGTAAATATATTTATAACATATCATGAACAGAATTACTTACATATTCCTTCAATCTTATCCCCATTCTTACAGTCTTACAAAAATTAAAAAAAAAATGTAAACTGTATGCTGATTCCACAAACACTGGAAACTTAGAATTTAATTTAGAAACAAAAGTTATGATGAAACTAACCGTTGTATTGATGGGTTCTTCGACTACTGTAGTTGTAATGGTACTATTACTTTGATGATTTATACGACTCATTTTCAATCCTATAAATTGCATTGTCTCATGAGTGTTTACATGCAATATGACAAATAAGAGAACAAAGCTTTTACACGTATCTAACTCAATTTAATCCAATCCAACACAACTAAATTCAATCCAACTCAACCAGAATTAATTCAACTTAACCAAATTCAATTCAAACCAGCCAGATTCAATTCAACTCAGCTAAATTCAATCCAACTTAACCAGATCCAATTCCGCGGAATCCATCTCAACTCAACCATTCAGTCAAGAAAATATCCATCGCTCCAAATTTAATGATCTTCACAATCAACACCAACAGAGAGACAAGAAATTGCATTCCGGGCTAGCAGAGTGATAAACATGCAAGAAGTATAGGCTGGTATATATTTAAGTGGTGGAAGAGTTTCCCGATTTCATTGCCAGCTTGTCATAGTATATGCTTTTTTTCTTTTGTAGTCAAATTAGGGATGCTTTCCGAATAGTTACATTTTGCAGTCGTTCTTTCAATTTATATGTCCGACAATGTATTATTAATATTTCTGGTTTTTTTTTCTCATTATCATGTTATAAAGAATGATTTATTATAGGTAAGTGAAGTGGGTTGTATTTAGTGGAAATGGGAAAGATACATTACTCGAAGCAACCAGAAAATAGCACAAAGTCGTGTAAAGCACGTGGTTCCGATCTTCGAGTACATTTCAAGAATACACATGAAACGGCTCAAGCTATCAAACATATGCCCCTAAAACGTGCAATACGTTTCCTGGAGAATGTGAAAGAGAAGAAAGAGATTGTTCCATTCCGGAAATTTAATCATCGTGTTGGTCGTAAAGCACAAGCGAAAGCCTGGGGACATACGCAAGGTAGATGGCCTAAGAAATCAGCTGAATTTTTGTTGCAACTTTTGAGGTTAGTAGTTTTTTTAGATCTTTTTCAGTGTTTTTTTTTTTTTTTGAAATATTTTCAGCAAGTTTATATACTCCAGTGACAGATTGTAATTCACAATTTATTTAGCTATGCGGATAAATGGTGCTTTTGAGTGAGAATCAAATTATAAAATTATCAAGCTTGGTGATGTAGATTTACTCCGAGAGTTAGATTACAATATATTACCAGGGAAAATATACTACCTATATCAACAGTTCTATATGGAAAATTGTTGTGCAGTCTTTACTCTGTTTGTAATTACTTCTTTCTAGAAATGCGGAAAGTAATGCTGAGTATAAAGGATTGGATACAGACCATCTTGTAATTGAGCACATTCAGGTGCAGCGTGCTCCAAAAGTACGTCGACGAACATATCGTGCCCATGGCAGAATCAATCGTTAGCTTTCGTTTTCTTAGATTTCAACAACTTTAATTTAGTATGGAATTTGGTTGATATATTTATCAAAAAATCTCAAAATGGCCTTTCGTAGTTATGGGCTAGTTGGTAGTAAAGGTGTTTTTGGGACTAGTTATGCAAATCTGGACTTCCAAAAAAAAAAAAAAAAAGTGAAATTTGTACGATTAAATTCTCTTTTTCCTTGCTGTTTCAGTCATTTTCCTTTTTAAAAAATAGAATAGTATTGAATGTTTTTAATATTCTCCCTCTAGTAATTGATTTCGTATTTCATGTTATCCAATGTTTATTCGCTGCGTTTTGACTGCTCTAAAATGATATCAAGTTTTGAAATGACAATGGCTGATTAAATTCAACAAAATTACTACTTACTTTAATACTCTAATATGTTATTCCAGTTAGAAAGCGGCTTTTGTAACTGATTCAGTTTAACAAATTACAAAATGACTGAGATTCATGCTTATTAAATTTGTCGATTTCCAGCGTATATGTCATCGCCATGCCATGTGGAAGTAATTTTGTCAGAGAAAGAGGAAGTGGTGACAAAGCCAACAGATGATATTGGTAAAGTGAAGAAAGAATCCAAAAAGAAGCAGCGTCGTATTTTGGCTCGTGGCGATTATTAAATCTTTCCTTTTTTTGTTCTATATTTGTTGTTATAAAAGTTAAGCATAGACAAAGCTCTTTGTTTCACATTTTTGTAGCCCAGTATGGTAAGACCACGTTTTCACAGTCGGGATGCATGATGTTCATGGGAAGTGAACTACGGCTTGTTGTCAGGTTCCATATCGAACGTTAAAATCGGAGGACACATTATGCCATAACGTTTAGGGTAAGAACTGTGTATGGTGACTTGTGATGTTAGAAAGGAAGGTCTTTATTAGCACGGAATTTCATGGACTGTATTCATTTAGATGAAATTTCAATAGGAATCTTTAATGCATATGAAGACTTCTGTGTCTGACATTTTAATGAAAGTTGGGAATTAAACGTTTGTCTTGCATTGATTTTTCTCAATACAACTGATTTCTTCCCTGCTGTGCGGATTTCGACCTCGGGTGTATTTCTCTTTTTTTCGAATGAAAATCAAATTGCGTGATTTTGGGACGCGTCTACGATTTTTTTAAAGCCTGGTCGGTATGCTAATGTTACTGTTTGCACTGCAATGGTAATGGTTAGTGACCAATTAATCCTAATTTGGTCACGCATAATCTCAAAATCAACAGTATAATTGAGGGATTTCTCCAAATGGATGGAAAAAATTACTAAATAGGAGTGTGACGTTTTTTTTTTTTTTTTTCTATAATTTTTTAAGTATCATGAAGAAGTAAAAGGAGGAATTCATTGAGATTTTATTTTCAGATTGAAAAGTATAGTTTAGAAAAGCATGGGCACAGAAGGACATTAATTATCGATTTATATTTTCATCAATACAATACCCGAACAATACCATACTACATGGTTAGCTCCATTATCGCATTGACAATATCATTGTTAGCTTCCTTCAATGCTTTGATAGCTCGATTACGTGATACATTGGCTTGGGAACATACCTGAAAATAACAGGAACAATGTTTAAGTCGAAAAAAGAATCAAAAAATTTTTTAAATCAGTATTTCATTCAAACGAATGCAAATGCATTCCTGGCTATATTCACCTCCATTTTTCTGAGTGTGAAGAAAAGCAGATACTTTTATGAACAGTATCAATGTAAAACTACAGGACCATTCGCTAAACTGAATGAATGGGCAGTCTCAATCATACATAAATTTTCGAATAGAATTCGTACTTACGAATCGGTACTTTTGAATAAGAACCTTTAAACCGCCCTGTCTGACGTACTCGATAATTCAGTTTTCAATGAATAGCAAAAAAACATACTAGTTCAATGTCTTTCTCTTCAATACCAGTTGCATCGACTTCACCATCATCACCACTTTCTTCTTCTTGTTGGGCTCGAGTAACATTCATACGTCCACCTTGACCACCTAACTGTGTATCATTTGGCTTTAGCCTTTCTGCCGCAGCAAATCGCGCATGTTCACTTAAATCCTCAATCTAGAAATCATGAGCTGTGAAAAATTTAAATCATAAAAACGGTATGAATAATGGTTTCAGACCTAGTATTTGAAACAGCTTTAAAAAAAATAAAATTGAAAACAAAGGACATACGACATTAATCAGAATATTGTCAGCTGTACAATTATGGAAGCATAGAAAGTATGCAGATCAAATCTGTACTATTTCATAGCTAAAGCACATTTGGCAGTCATGTGGAATAATTATGGAATCAAATTTAAAAATAGAGATTAAAAATCATCTTAAAGTATTTTTAAATAACACCTTAGCTTCACCAAAAACAATATAGGTATCGGAGCCGGGGCTCTTGTACACATCCGGTTTATTTATAACAAAAAGAATATTTTTTGATTTTCGAATGCAAACACGAGAGACATTGTGGACCGGTTTCAGACCCAATTTGCTGAACAATTTACGCGCCTTCTTTTCTGATCGTGACTGCTTGCTCATTTTGTCCCCAGACACCTACAAAAACATATGGAAACCGAATAAATAGATCTTAATAATTTTTCATTCTAAACTGTTTCGAAACAAATGAGTAGGGAAACGATGAGAATAAACTATAACGGCAATGTGAAAAACAAAAAAAAAAAAAAGACCTGATCAGCTAATCCGGCAGCTTCTGCAACCTTCTTCTGAGCTTCCGTAACTTCGCCCTCATTTTCATCATTTTCATTATCCGAACCCTTCAGCTCGTTTTCATCACCAGCCTCATTTCCAGAAGAACCAGAAGACGTGTCATCAGTTGCTACCTGAACCAATATGTTGTAAATGATGTGATAAATAAACTTCTAATAGCTGGTGTTAATAAGAAACTGTTTCATCATTTCACCATTACATGATAATTTAAAAAACGATATATATATAATAGGTTAGCAGCGACAAGAAGAAATAACTCACAACAATCCAAACTGTTTTTTGGACTTAATTCTAATCTCCGCATTTACGCTATCTCGTGATTATTAGCAAATGATAATTTGCATTTTCCGTTTATAGTATCAATCTACCACAATTTTTATGACAAATAAAATTAAGAAGTAAAACTGGATACTTTATTCAAATATATAGTTTTTTTTCTTTCACATCTGACTACCTCAACAGTAATATTTCAGTTATAGAAAAAATATCGTATTCAATATAATTTTAATATCTATTGTAAAATACTCAAGCTTTTACCAGGTTAACAATCTTAATAACCTATAAATTGAGGAATTTAAACTTCCGCAATTCAAACATTAAAAAGAAAACCTTCTTCTGCTCTTCGTCCTTCATTTGTACTGCAACATCAGCCATATTTCCGGTCGAATGTATAATAATTGTCTAGACTCCTGCAATTATTTCGTTATTGCAGAAGGAAGGAGAGGGAGAGAGAGAGACAATCAAATAATTATTCTTCATTAATTAGTTACTGATAATAGCTTTTTCAAACATTCAATGGCATTACCTATGTAAAATATACAAATACACATAAGAAAAATAAATTATACTGTAGTAAAGACAATTAAATATGGTCTTAAAAGCTATTAATACGACAATATCACAAAAATTTGATAAGAAACCAATCATAACTGCCTCCACACTTCGAGAAACCTCAGACAAAACTTGACCCTACTGCAACTTCCCACTACCAATTTAGAGAACATTCGTAGCAATCCCTTTGGGCTACTGTATGGTCTGTTATGTCACTTCGACTAGGTTTTATGAAAATGTTTACTACCACCTGATTAATGACCTTATTAGCCTAACATTGCTCCATTGTTAAATCCGGTAGAAATCAATGATAGTTCCATTAAAGTTTTATAAAAATTTTCATTTCTTCTTTAAACCGTTAATTTTAATTTCATCGATTTCACAAAAGTATTTCTTACTATCAAATATTATGATAAGACACTGGTAATGTCCAATTATTTTAGATAACTTTTAATTCTAGAAATAGAAATTTCAGTATAAAATCATTTTTACAGATCTTCCATAATTTTTCTACATTGAGTTCTGGCATCATTAAGAATTTATGTTAATGTAATGATTACGTTTCATTTTGCTATATCTAACCTTGATGTTTTTTTTTACTGTGTTCAAGAATAATAACTTTATGTGAATAATAGTAATATTAGTAACTTTATACCTAATTTATTATCATGTAATTGCTTTAGTTAGATCTCTCTATTTATTAGTATAAAATGTAATTCTACTTTTGTGCCAACAGTTATAAATCATTAATGAATCATCACTGATTTTAGGAAACATGATGGTCGAATAAATAAAAGAGAGGAAAAATTTATAAATAATCATTCAATTTGATGATGGATGATTATGCGATAATTCATGAATTACACGTGTGCATTCCTTCTCAATCCATTAGTTTGATATGTTTATCGAACGATTTTGTTTCCTTGTAATAGCATTTATTTTCAACGATTGCTCATTATTGATGCGTCATAATTATAAGGATGATTTAATCATTTTTTTTTTTTTTAAAAAAATTAGGAATGTGGAATGTTTTTCGTATTTTTTTAAGAAAAAAACTTGTTTTTGTGTTATTTATGTTTTTGATTGACGAAACGGTGTTGGTATTGTTTTTGTTTTTTATTCTGAACATTTTTACCCAGCTGCTTATGTAATCAAAATTGTTTACCACGGACATGTCAGTAGTGATTAACAGTTTTAATAGATTAGTTCACAATTATTCGCAGTTAATTTTTTCTTTCGTTAAGATTTTTATAATTATAATGTAATTTTAACTTAAAATTTTTGTAATATTCATGTGCATTTAAAATTAATTGTTTAGTGTGGATGAAAGTGTTGACAGGTTGCGTTTTCACGCCTCCCTTTTTTCTTTTTTTTTTGTTTTGTTTTTCTTCTAGTGTCCTTTGGTTGTTAAATCATTTTTCAGGTAATATTGGTGTAGATCAAGTGCGGTTCAGGCGAACGGAGTAATGTTTTGGGATGAAAAGTATTGGCTTCCACGAGGTTTCACCTGGAATGACCTTAAATCTAATGATACTGTTCATTATCCGGATATTTGGCAATTAACTTATGCTATGAAGTTTGCTTTTGAATTTTCTAAATACAATAAAGTTTGCTTTAAAATTCTTTAATATAACATAAGCATGTAATACTCAAGAAAGAAAAAAAAAAAAACCTGCTGTCCATTTGTTTTTCTTCATCTGCTGTTCGAACTAATTGACTTATGTCCGTCGAACTTCCTACACTTTTTGCTCTTAAATGCTTTAATAATATTGAAGTCGTATCTCTCGTAAATCTCGAAACCGTAAATCGTACTCACGTTTAGTTTGAAAAAGAAGTCTTAAAACGACTTTTATTAATAATATTAGATCCTGTCAAAGCTAACGACTTCACTTTGATAACTAAAGATTTTCGTAATCTTATTATATTTGAAGTTTAAAGGCTGTTGTTAAGATTCTACCAGTTTTTTCTTTTCTTTAGTGTAAAGAAATCAATGGAAGAATTTTCTTAATTTAATACCTGTTTATGCAAAGACAACATACGCTATTAACAAATTTCATTTGCGGTATCAAATTTAGTGATTTTTTCACTATAATGGTCATTTCAACTTACACTCTGACCACTCTCTACATCTTATTCTAGCAGTTTACAAACAATAAAATTTTCAGATATAGTGTATTACTGTTATTGCTTAGATTTGCTGTTGAATGCTTCGTATTTTTACCAATTGGTTGTTTATTTGGTATGATTAAAGAACCATTTGGGTTACGTATCAAAGCACATCTAAATTTTTGTCAAGCTAATAAAGGAAAATTCAAACGGGTATCAGAATCTGCGTGGCGATTTCTGTTTTACTTATGTATTTGGTTATACGGCATGTCTTTTTTTTCCTTCTATTATTTTTTTTTTATTTTGTCTTTTGCATTTACTTGCGCTGTAATAACACCATATACAACTGTGGGAAAGAAAAAATGGATTATTTTCTTATTTTGAAAACGAATTTGTTGGTTACTTATTTTACCAATTTGTAATTTCATATTCTTGTTTTGAATATTAGCGTTTTATCTTAATCCATATATTATGCAATTATATACAGTTTAGATTTTCTTTTTAGGTCTCTATGTTTTATCTGATCAGCCTCAGCTTTATGATGTCGCGGAATGTTGGCGTTATTGGCCTCGTCATCCGTTGACGAATAACGTTTGGTGGTACTACGTAATTGAAACATCATTTTACTGTTCACTTATTATAAGGTAAAAGTTTAATTATTAGCAGCTTAATCATGATAAACACTTATTTTGCATTTTCATACTACCTTAATAATGGCTTCTGAATTGGAAATATATTCACCAAAATGTTTTTTAAAAAATATCTTCGTACTATCTATTTTTAGTTCAGTATTATTTGACATTCGAAGAGCTGATTTTATTCAGATGACATTTCATCATATAATCACCATTCTACTTCTTACATTAAGTTTTGTAATGAATATGGTTCGAATTGGTACACTGATTCTTTTTAGCCATGATATCGCTGATGTTTTTCTGTAAGTTTTTATTTATTCACAAAATTTACTTAATGATTATTTATCGGTAATAATGACAACTAAGGGATGATCGACTACCAATACGCGATGTAATTTGCAATGCTAGGTTATATTCTAATGACTATACTTGATTTTTATTAATCATATCTTAAAAACTTGAGTTCATGAAAGTAATTAAGTTTTAACTCTCTTCAGGATAAGGATTCACTCATCAACTAATATTTCTTAAGCAGCTTAGCACTTTTTTTTTAGTGAATTGGGTAAACTTTGTCGATATGCTGGTTGGAAAACGGTTTTAACATGTGTTTTTGCAACATTCATGACGGTATGGATTGTCACACGGCTCATTTACTTTCCGTTTTTCATTATTCGATCGGTATTATTCGACGCTCCTGCTTTAATACAGGTAAAAATAATTACTTTTTTTTAATGTTATTGATTCTATAAGTAGTTTATTTCATGTATTTGCACATAAATTTAGTCTCTATTTGATTTTTTTTTTGTCAAACAGAATGCAAAATTTTCATATATTTTCTTGACACACAAATTTTTCGGTAACAAATGAAGAATTATAGTGTGATTTGTCATAACCATTGTGTTAATAAAATATTTCAAATATAGTAATAATCATGTGGTAAACTTAAATAAATTCGAAATGATATTTGCACAATGATTAAACTTTTCAGGCAGATTATCGATGGGAAAATATACGACAACCTCCAATAGTCCCACGATTATTTGCTCTGATGTTGCTCTCTTTACTGATTTTACACATTTATTGGACAATTATAATCATGAAAATAGCACTTAAATCAGTAAAAGGTAATATTGATGATATCAGGGAGGAATCAGATAATGAAATATCCTCTGCAGCATCATCTGAAAATATCGATGCAATCGTAAAGAATAATACAAAAAGGACGAAGAAAATAGAGTAATTGCTATTTACTGGTAATAATTCCAAATGAAAGAAGCCTTATAAATACGAATTTATGATTTTAGTTTGTCTTTTCTTTTTTTTTCTCTTTTTTTTTTTTGAAGTGATTACTTATATTTAGATGTCTAGTAAGAATTTGTAGTATATTAGCTTTTTTTAAATTTCAAAAATTTTCAGTCCAGTGATGACTTGATTTTATTGTTTTTCCAGTTCTTCTCTTCTGTATTTTTTTTCAAAATAGTGTGCGGAGACTTTCTTCATTCATTTTAGCATCAATTAGAAATACAAAAGATAGTTTGGATTATTTAACTATTACATCTAAAATAATTTGCAAATTAATTACATTAGCTAATAGAGGTTACCAAAATTTTTATTCCCTCAACTTATGTTCACTAAAATTTAACGTAGTACATTTTGTATCTTCTGTCTCTATTGTATTTATAAAGTAAATTTTAATAAGTTAGCATTGTATAATTTACGCAATATTCTAAAACTAAAATCCTTAAAGTTGCTTAAAAATCGATTAATAACTATTTTGTGGTGATGTTTTTTCTTTTTTTTTATAATCAGTAAAAACTCTAAAATACTACCTTCTGTTTATGCTTTTTTTTTTTTTTTTTTCTGTATGCTTTAATTGTCAGCACTTTGAACGAATATTTTTAGGTGTCTTATTGTAAATGTTGCTTTTGGTGCTGCATTCTATGAATGTTTGTGCATCTGCCACTTATTGTTTTCTCAATAGTTATTTTTTACTCTAAACATATCCATAGAGTTTTAGCATATAATTTTTAAGCATCACTTTATTATTATTAAAAAAATAGCTTTAAGATATTTGCACAAAAATAAGATAATCAAAATTATTTCTAAAGCATTTTTAGATTTTTATATGGCTCTATCATTTCATCTAAAATTTCTTTTTTTTTTTTTCTGGAAGATGTTCATGTTTCAAAATTTATGCAATTTATCCCTCCTAATTTATTGATCGGTTTAGTTTCGATCACAATATTTGATCCAAGATTTTACTTAATATTTAACTCAGTGCTAAGGTTGATTAGAATAATAGACATTAGGTCATGCTTCCGACCATATTATGTCTTTTTTTTTTCTTTTTTATCTTAGAATTAGTCAGCAAAGAGAATTTGTTTTTTCATTGTCACTAATTTTTTTTTTTTTTTTTTTTCAGAAAAAACTATGTTTCATTTTGGTCTTAAGCGTTTTTTTAATGTGTAATTTTTTACTGTTCCTATAATTTTTGTCAATTCTTTTGCCATTCATTGAATTCGTTTGTATTCATTTTCCTTCTTTTTTTCTATTTCTTTGTCTTGGCTTCAATTTCATTTTGAATTGGGGAAACAAATATTCAGAAGAAAACCACTAGTCCATAGACCAGTTATAATGTATTATTAAAATGTATCAACCTAAAATTAATTTAGGTCTATAAATTACTTTTTTTATTACTGTTCTTTTGCTAAGTATTAAAAAAAAGGGAATATTTTTTTTTTTTAATTTATTTTAGTATTTGTACAATTATGAATTAATGAACTGTAAAAAAAAGTGAAATTAAGCATGCTAAGTTGTAGTGCTCCTCTTTAATTTGTTAAAATTTAAATTTATAAGATTTACAAATTTCAAATAAACTAAGCTAATATTACCTTAAATAAAGCTTCATAATATGGTCTGTGTTGTTGCTTTTGAGGTAATTTCTAATGATGTTGCTTTTTCTCTTTGAATGTATTCGTTTTAATTAAACTTTGCTTTTTTCTTCTCTTTTTTTGCTTTTATTGTTTGAGGTAATCAATTTAAAAAATTTGTTACTGTCTTGCTCAAAAAAAAAGAAGAAAAAAACTTTCAGTTAAATTGCTTTCTCTACTATTATATATTTCAAGTTAAACTTGCCTCTTGCATTCTTTATAGTTTAAATTCCATTTTCTAAAAGCCCCAATTTGTGTGTCATTTTAAGAATAATGGTAAATCCATTCATTCATTTTTCCTCTTGTTTTTCTTGTTGAATATTATATTCCTATGATTATGATTTTCGTTATTTTTGTAGTTCAATCATTTACATTCAGTATTTATATTAACATAACTCGAATTTGTTTTCATTCCCTAAATGTTACACTAGTTCAATCATTTTTTTTTGCTTTGAAATTCTATCAGTGTCAAATTTGCATATTCCTTTTTGTGATTGCTCAGAATTTAATTAATAAAATCTTATCACTATTCATCTTTACTGTTGTTTCCTGAAGTTTTAAAGATTGAAAAGATTTCTTTATTATTATCTAATAATTACTACAATTTTTTGATCAAATAATTGTATTTATTTTCTTTTGATTTTAGTAACATGAAGTAAGGATCATTCATTTTTCATTGTTATTTTTTTCTAAAATATGAAATGTTTTTTACATTGGTGGAAATTTTATAAAAAGTCAGAATATAATTTTGGTAACATTTGAAAGTGTAACTTCTGATTTGATTTGATTATTATGAGGACAGTAAATTGCAGTTAAAGTTTAATATATTTAATTTCAAATTTTATTTGCCATAATTATGAGTGAGCTTTCAAAATATTTCAGTACAATCTATTTTGTACTGTTCAAATTGAAATTTAACATACATTAATATTCATTATTCACAGAATATATACACACACCAGCAACAATATCAAATGTTTTTATTGAAATAGTTACAACGAATGGGAAAGAAGAAACGAATAATATCTGTTAAATTAAAAAAAAAAAAAAAACTTGTTTAAAATTTAGTTAATTGAAACCAATCAAATTAACAAATCATTTTTCTTCCCCTTAATCTGTCGTCATACTACCTCTTTCCACTACAATTTTTTTTTATTGACGACTATCCGTACTGTAATATCTTTTTTTCTGGAAATGATACTAACTGTCAACATAAGATCTCCCTTTGTTACTTTTTTTTTCCACTAAATTAATAGGCAAATTTTAATTTATTTTAAAATATGTTTGGAATTTGTTTATAATTCCAGAAAAAGTAGAAGTAAAGAAAAGATGCAACAAATTTTTGTGCCATAAGTTCTTTTTAAGGAAAGCATGCTTCTAGAGAAAAAAGCAAAAAGTTCTCCATTCTAAGCTAATTATGTAAATAGAGGGATATAAAAAGTAAACATTTGAATGACACAAATCCGATTACTTGAAAAATATACCGAAATTAAAATCGATATTTGAAAGTCAACAGTAATTTAATTTATTTCAATTGATAATTCATAGAAAGCAGGCTGCTAATGGAAGACTAAAATGTATTTGAAAATATTTTGCATGAATAAATGAATATAAATGTTAGGAATTTTCTTTTTTATGTACTTACAAATGGTATGTTGTGTTTTTTTTTAAGTTTCAAAAAAAAAAAATAATGGCAATTTTTTAAAATTATTCGTTTTAAAACAAAGTAAATACCGTATTATATCATCTTGACTTTGTTCAAAAAGTTTTTTTTTAAAACAAAAAAAAAAAATGATATAAAAGATTCTGAATAGTTTTCTGTTGATACATTCAGTAATTATTACTTCTACACTGATCATATTTTAAAATTGTGGAAAAATTTCACTGCTTCAAGATTTCACTTCGTCTTCCTTTTCTGCTAACATTTTCGATCGTTTCTTGATGATAATGATAATCATTTAATAATAATATAACCATAGAAGAAAAAAAAAAAGCTTGAGGTTAATTTTCAAAATGTTGTAAGATGATTATCGTATGTATTTATTGTTTATGAGTTAAAATTAGCGCTGTGCATATGGGTGATAGAGGTAATTTTATAGAATTCAAATACTGAAAGCATAAAAAGATTCAAGTAACAATTTTTTGTATCTATAAAATTCAATATTTAATTGGCAAGTAAAGCTGTATTCATAATAAGTGATAATCCAAAACAATCCACAAATTAGACAATATTTGACTGAATAATTTTTAGCAAAAATTAATTCCATTTAAAATAGCAATTATTTATGCCAGTGATATGCGTAATCAACAATAAGAATAGCATCTTTATTCAATATACCTAAAATTTTAGAAATCCAAATAATATTTGCCTAGATGTGAACATTTCTCACCTATTTTAAAATTCAAATAAACTATGTGCTTTTTAATTAGTAAAGGAAAACAGTAAGATATAATTGGTCTCAAAAAAGTGTACTCACTTCAATAAAACTTTATTTATATGATTATAAAAAACATATCATAAGTCGTAGTTTATAACGTTTCAAAAATTTCATACGATCATTATTAAAAACAATGAGAAAATTTATGCATTACAATATGATCATCGGAATATATTAGCTATATAAACAAAATTAACAAAAAAGAAAAAAATGAACTTAACAAATAAATGTAAAATTAAGATAAATTGTAAATAAACTAAATAGCATTGTAATTAGTAATAACTTAATATAACATTTCATACATTTTATAACAAAAAAAAAAAAAAAAAAATTACTCATAAGTTCTACCCCATGGAATTCGTAAACAGTCATCGATAGTTTCATTTTCCTCTTCATCATCAAGCGTTTCGATAAATTCATCATTGAGTATATCATCAACAGATGACTGAGCTGTAGCTTTTACAATCCCTTTATCTGGTGTTTTCTCATCATATTTGATAATTTTTTCACAAAGTTGCATATTTCTTAAAATATTTTTCAGTGTAAAATGCTTATCCAGTAATGAATGCGTACAATTAAATGGTCCTAATTGTATTCGTAATAACTGACGACATGATGCCACAGAACCTTAATTAATAATATCTTTGTTAGAAACAATTGTTTCTTTTTTTTTTTTTTTTTTTTTTTTTTTTTTGTAAATTTTGACTGTTTAAAGTTAAAAAGGGAAAAAAAAACAGCAAGAATATTGAATTATAAATTTTGATCATAATGCAGAAATGATTGTTTTAAATATTAACTAACATATATCTTCAACTAACATATATACCATGTTTAAATATCAATTTAAATTATTAGCTATTATGTTTAAATACATGTTTAAATATTAACTAATATAATGTTTAAATATTAAATAACATAAAAAGTAAATAGAAAATGTAACATATTGCTTAATGAAATCCGTACATCTTAATTTACGCATATATAAAAGAAAAATTTTAAATTTGACGTCAAGTAATAATGATTAATAGGCTCATTAAAAGATACTCTACATTTGATAGCTAAAGAATCTAGTGGTAATTAAAAGTTAATGTTTCTGTAACTTCAAATCACTTAATCTGACCAACAAAACAAAGTGACAAAAATAAAATTACTTTTAATGCTTCTGTAAATCAATTAAATGAAATTAGCAGAATTCTTTTTAAAAATTCAGAAAGGAAAAACAAATTTACCTAGAGATAATGCAATTTCATTAATGAAATCCTGTAAAAAATTGTCGTCTTTGCAAACACAGTGCAAATTGATTGTAAAATGTGGCAAATTAAAGTATATCAATTTGATAAAATATATTACAGGTGCACCAAGAACTTTAGGCCTTGGTAAACCCTAAAAAAACATATGATTTCATTTTCATTTTTTTTTTTTTTTTTTTTTTTTTCATAAGAACTGCAACAGGAAGCAAAAAGAGATTGAACAAAACAAAATTTGATAAATTACGAAAAAAAAAAAATCACCTTTCGAGCCAATTCAAATGCTTCTTGGCTTTCTAAATCTACATTTGCTAGCTCAAAAGCTAACTTTTTGTAATGAGCTTGTAATCGCATTAGAAATCTTGACATGTGTTGATGAGTAATATGCTCTAAAATAGGTCAAAATTTAAAGGTAAATATTTTTCAAACCTAATCCAACAGAGGTAAGCAGTAATTTTTCCTGAAATTGAAAATGTTCACCCTTAATAAGTCATTGCGACATAATATGTGTCACAAACGTCTGCATCGTCACACACAATTTTCCAAAAAAAAAAAAAAAAAAGCTCAAAATGTAATTTATCGTTTTATCTATTTTACTAATCTACCAATAGCTAATTACTTTACAAATAAGCACTGACGATAGCTAATTACTCTACAAATAAGCACTAACGATAGCTTATTACCTACAAATAAGCACTGACGATAGCTTATTACTTTATAAACAAGCATTAACGCTTTTTTAGGAATAATTTATAATATTTTTGGGAATAAAAAAACTACAAAAAATGCATTAAGAAACCCGACCATAGTCACATTCCCGATTTACTTTTCCTCGAATCTTATTTTGAACTGTTCCACGACCTAGTTGACCTTTCAAAACATATTCGTTCACCCAAATACGATCACGTAAGCTTTCTAACATATCGCGGCCGTCATTAATGCCAAACACTGCAAAACATATTAGGTAGGAATAAAAAAAAAAGCAAAATGAATCAGGCTATGATAGTTCATTGATATATCAAACAGTAATTAAAAAAAAAATTAACTCTATCTCTTATCCATTAACTTTCAACATGCTTAATGTTTATCGTGAAAAATTTAATTTCTTTATAACAAGTAAAATATAGCTATTAGAAACTTCCAGAGATATTCGCAATTTTCAATTTACTAAGGATGTAAAAGAAATAAAAGCATACAGCATAGACCAGAACTTGCAGGTTGCTGATAATCTAACTCTTCAATTTGAATATCCTCTTTTCGAAATGGTTTCCCAACAACAAGAGGATGAAAGCTGAAACAATATTAAAAATGTAATATGTAAGCATACTACAATTGTCATAAATTTCAAAGATAATATTAAGAACTGAAGCAATTTCATTTAACATATTTTATTCATATACATACAACTAATATCATTTGATAAAGTTTAATCAGCTGAAACAAATTAATAATATTGTGAAAGCAAAACAAAAATAATGAGATTTTGATATAAAATGGAATATGTTTTTGAATGTATTAGCGTGTAAACTTGTTTCAATTTTGTCAATTTCCATCAAATTTTAAATACACAATTTTTTATTATTACTTACTAAGAATATAAAAATCCATAATAAACATGAGATAGTGCAATTAAATTGAGTCATATTTTAAATTATAACAATTTATAACGAATAACTCATAAAACGAGTGAGTGATAATCGGACCTGATAAATTTTTTATAACATTATTAATGATGAAAGAAAATAAATTACAGAATGCAAATAATTAAATATAGCTTTAATAAATTATTTAATTATCTATATGAAAACATTTAATAATTATATTTACTAATTTAAATAAACGAACAAAATGTTTTCCTTCACTTACTCATAATTTGGTTGTTTTCGTAAGCCAACAATAATAGGTGCCTGTGATATTGGATGAGGCTCAACAACTGGCATTTCAATTTCCGGTATTTCTATTGGTAAGCAACGCTTGTTGGCATCTTCACAAATTGCATTGATAAGACGTAATCTCAACGCCGTAAGTGACATGTCACGTGGTTTATGTACACAGACAATACCATGTAGTGATCTCCAGATATCAGTTACTGTTGCACCTACGCGCATTTTACAAGCGTGGAATTATAGGCCACAACCCCACGAACAGCTTTCCTCAACTATAATTTCTTTCTCACTTTTTTTGATCGCTTTCTTAACAGTTACCAATTGTATATAAATGTATGGAATGCAAAAGTTATTCGCAAGAAAATCACGGCAACATATAAGGTACCATCACGATTATTGGGAGGAATCGCACCGAATAAGTGGATGAAAACTCCGAATATCTTAAGAAATACACCACACTGCAAACTCCACTATTCCATTAATTGCAATATGCAACTCTTATGGTACTTCTGTTTTGATTTTCCTATTTTCATAAACACTAACATGTTTTTATTCAGCCTAGAAGGCGCAACTCCTCGGAATTAAATATACTAGTGGTAGGACAAAGCTATAAAACTGTATGAAGCAGAAATTTCAAACATGTATTTTAATCACGAATTGAACAGTACAATTAAATCACATAAGTGTCAACAAAATTGATCTAAGCAGCTCTTTTCTGTGCAAGCCGACGATCCCGTTCTTCGGCAATAGTCAAACGGACACCTTTCGTCGGCCCTGGTAAGCTTACTATAGATTTAGTTCCTTTTCCAATAATAAACACGTTATTTAACCTAAAAAATAAGTAAATAAACACGAGGTATGATAATGCGTAAAGTACGCAGAAGCAAACATTATTTGCAAGCATAACTGGAAAACAAAACTGAACCAAACTAGTAGTTCAAAGAAAACTAGCAGAACATTATGAAATCAATTTTAAAAACTACTTCAGCAAAAGGAAGTCTATTTCCTAATAGAAATACTGTTCGCAAGCATACTATTATTAAGAAAAAAAAAACTAACCTGGACCGGTGGTTATGCCAACCAGGCCCCGGCCTTCTTTAATCAGCTCTATGGAGGGATATGTTGTGCTTCGCAAACAAAGCGTGTGATGAACTTAGAGAATTTTAGAAATTCCATTTTTTTTGTAACCTCAAAATTTTCTTAGCTATTTCATTCAAAAGACACAAGTAATTTTTTCCGGATTGTCCTCCTACACTTACCGAGTGGCAAACGAATGATCAGCAGCATCTTTAATGTGCACAATATCAAATGAGCCCGGATGCTTCTCACGATGTCCAACAATGCCTACACGACCCATGTTACGTCCACCTGTTACCATGCACAAATTACCTTGGTCGAATTTAACGTAATCACTCATTTTACCGGTTGCAATATCCACCACTATTGTGTCATTTACCTGAAATTTTGGAAAAGTGGCAAAACGCTAAACAAAAAGTTTTAGGGATAAAAGGATGAAAAAATGTGTAAAATCTAATTACCAGCAACCTTAATAATACCACAGAAGATCAAAGAGACAATTTCAATGGCAAGGCCGCCTGAATAATTAGGAAACCGATAAAAATTGCACAAAAAGATCACAAATCTTTTGATTCCCAAAGCTAAATTTAAGCTAATGTTCCATCGCTTAACAAGCACGGATAATGTATTTACAAAACTTAATTATTAATGCAATATTGCTAATAGCATGTATTTTTTCTTTTTTTTTTTTTGAAACCGCAAAATAAGACAGCTAACCTTAACATGAGGATCTGGATAACGAATGGTTCGAGCATCGTGGGTAACAATAAAAGGTACGCCTTTTGGCCCAACGCATTTTTTCACTATTTTGCACAGTTTAATATTTCCTTCCTGTTCTGTGATACGATGGGTAGCATATCGTCCTTTTGCGTCATACAACAAGCGAAAAGTCTCGTTTGTCTTCTCGATCCTGATTACATCTAAAAATATTCAACAAAACAAGATAAATCTGTCACTCTTAATCAAGCATCTGAAATGATTAAACAGTAATGTGCCATCTGAACATATCCCACATTATATAATGTGACACTCATCCAGTCTTAATATAAGAATCTAAAATAAATGTTCTGTAATGAAAACTAAATACTAGGATAAATATATACCCATGAATCCTGCAGGAAAGCGCATATCTGTTCGCACCTTTCCATCGACTTTGATTAAACGCTGTTTGCAAATCATGCGCGCTTCATTATATGTCAGTGCATACTTTAGTCGATTACGCAAAAACAATATCAACGGGAGCGATTCACGCAATTTATGTGGTCCACACCTTGGTCTGGGAGCAAAAACACCTGTAAAAATTCATTTCAGTATAAAGACTAATTCTTCAAGCAAATGATCATCAGTTTCCAATGTATCTCTTAGATTACATTGCAAATGAGAACTTGTCTGACTCTTTCCTTGTCCAAGTAGCTTTTTCACATTTCAAGTCATACGATTATTTGAGGATAAAACCTGTGAAATTTCCAAGGCAGCAATTTCAGAAAGTGCCGCGAAATATTTATCATGCTTGTATCAAACGGTAATTCCATTAACTTCATCACTAACTGCTGCATTTCAATTTTTTCTCATTTTTTCACAACGGAACTGAACCTGAACGATTTGCCCTCCAAACAGAGAGACTGACAATCGACCATCAACACTTTAGATATCCCATCGAATTACCGTTACGAAACAATATATTACAACCACATACTAATATCATTGAAAAGTTTTCGAGAGGATTTTACACTAAATGGAAATGCGATTAATTCTCTTGACTTATTAATAGTGAAAGTAACGATTTATATATCATTATAAGTACAATTACTTGCACATTCCCAGATCATGATAAAACTGCACAATTAACATGGGTCATCGGAATATGACTGAATATTCAACGTCATTTCAGCTCGATGGTAATAAAACAACCTAGCAGGAAAGACTCAACTATGTGCATCTATATCTACGCATAGTTGAGTCTTTTCTGCTAGACTGATTCACATTATTTTTGACATGTCTAAGCGCAATCCACATAGATCATTAGAAAGTAGTTCAACATGCAGGTCATTTAATGTCCAGTAATATCTGGACTTAACTATTACTTTCTTCTGCATAACATACTTAATGACAAAACATTTATGTATGAAGAAAAGGTTTTGAAGAAAAAAAATGATTAAAAGAAGACACCATACCTCCAAGCTTATCTAACATCCAATGTTTCGGTGCTGCAAGGCGCTTTAAATGTCGCTTTGGTCCACGAGCCATATTTTATACTCTTTACTTTACTCGACCCTTAAAGGACCCTTAAATAAAAACACTTCCAAACTTGAAACGATCAGCTGAAAGATTAATAAAAGACAAATCACACCTCGAATTGAATGCACTTATTCATATTCTCATACAGTTATGACAGTTCAACTTCTGAAACTATCCCATATCCGAAATATTTCCAGCAAATGCAATAAACTCAAAGCGAATCACCCCCAGGAATGGCACAACACCCACCCCAACGCACCAGAAATCTCTTCGCAATACCAACACTTCAACCCTTTAGGATTATACTACGCATACTGTAAGCGGTTTGAAAGTTCCAGCAAAAGTAACAGCACTAAAACTGGAGATAATCCAAGGATAGAACAGACTACTATCTTTTAAGCGGTATAGTTTATTCAATAATTCATTTTTACAACTTTTTTAATTATTCAGAATTAATTACTGAGCTGTGAATAATAACTAAGCTTAATTAGTGCAAAGTGAATGATTAAGCGCAATTAGTGAAAAGCATCCGTCTGTTAGTAAATCATAATGTTTAACAATTATATAAGCATAAGATGAGCTATGCGTAGATGAAGTATGAAAACTTGATTGATATCTGTGATATAAGAAAAAAAGGAAAAATATTTTTTGATAAAATAATTAATAAAATAATTTGCACAAATGCATGCAAAATGTATTACTATTTAAGCGTATATACAATGATAAATTTGCAAATGCAAGAAAAAAATTATAAACATCACTGTTGCATGGCATGCATTCATCATTTTGCATTAAACATGCAACAGACATTTTAAGTCAATGCTAAATGCTATCGCACATCATTTTGATGCTTTCACGTAAAGCCAAAAGGTTGGATTTGTTGAATCTATGAAATTCTAATCCTATTTGATAGATTAAGTAAGAGTGATGGGGAAAAATAAAGGGGAAAGTGAACTTGACATAACATGATATTCCGTGAGATTAAATCTCCTATTTTCTCTTGTCTTTATCTTTTGAAAGAGTTTAAGTCTTTTAATTGAAAACATGTTTATTTACAGCATATTATTGCTGGAACCAATATCTTCCAAATTGCTTTTTACCTGTGAAATGTGCGAGTCAGTAAAAGTTTAAAATTTCTATTCTGGTTGTTAAAATTTTCAACATATTTTCCCTTTTCATTAGTTGCCAAGGACTTGTATAAGTAAAGTTAGACAAAATCTCAACTTTCCGTTATCCGAAAAGTTAATTCCAGAAAGCGCCATATGGTCAAATGAGGAATACGTCTGAGATTTTCTCAAATTGGACTTGCTTTCTGCAAGCTTTTTTTTAATTTCAGTTTTCTTTTTAAACAATTTTACCAGAAATAAATTGCAGAATAATAAAGGATACGAAACAAACTTCTGCCATTATTATAACCGCTCTTTTAATAGCGATGATGGTAAAGGTGAGAATTCGTTTCAAAATGATTTCACTATCATTTATTATTCAAATTTATCATTTATTTTTGTTTCAACTGATAAGTGATATTTTGTAGGCTGATATCACTGATACTCTCACATCAGGTATGAATTACATTTAATTTAGCTGGCAGTTGAAAAAATCTTCCCAACAATTCCTCCAAACCATTCCTTCCAAACTTCTGCATCAAAGTTCCTAAAAGAACATTTAATTAAAAGTTCGACCATTTCCCCCTCCAATAAAGATGGTTTTGAAAAATACAAGTGGTAATTGATAAAGAAACCAATAAATTTCCTATTTAATTTCTTAAATTTTTGTTCAACAAAGTCCTATATATAAAATTTTATGAAAAGTTGTACGAACTATAGAAATAGTTGACTATGGAGATAATTACATTACCTTTTGACAGACACCATCTATACAAATTCATTTGGTATTGCTTTTGTCTTTTGCACTCGTACAACTTTTCATAAAATGTCAATGCTTATTGAGCATTTTATGCAATTTAATGCTTTCGATACGAAGCGGCAAATTTCGAGGTATAAACGCTCTGAAGTAAAGATCAGTGAAACCTCAAAAACCACAGAAACGGTTATCGAATCTCCAGAAGCGGGAAAGGTTGGCGAATCAGATACTAGAAAAAAGATTACCAAATCGGTAGAATCTGAAATCGCAGACACCAATACACCAGTAAGCACGGGAAACCAAAATTTCGACAAAAAACCGGTAACTAACAGAAAAAATCGACCACCAAAACCTCATCCGAAACAACAAAACCAGAAGGTTTTATAACTCAGACCACCAAAACCTCATCCGAAACAACAAAACGGATCAGTGAATCCGAAGATTACATAATTCGATTAACCGACGTCGTGTCAGAACACCTGGGTGAATCGGGTAACTACAGAAGGGGTTACCGAATTAATGGAATCTGAAATTGTGGTGACTAATGTTGCACCAGAAACCACCGAGAAGATCAGCGGATCGCTAGATTTTGTAATTCCCAGCAATGGAACCGGTCAAACGAACATTACAGAAGGTATTCCTTCTGTACCAAAAGAATTCATTGGAGATGATGGTGACGTTGGACCACCAGGATCACCTGGGCCACGCGGTCCTCAGGGTCCTCGAGGTGATCCTGGGCTACGTGGAAAACAAGGGCCTAGAGGTGATCCCGGTCCTCCTGGTGATCACTCTATACCACTATCATATGGTTTGTCTAAACTTTACAAAAGCAGAAAAATAACAATTTTGCCTTTCATCTGTTGATGGTTTCATTCGATCCCATTAAAAAACTGAAAATTAGAGAGCCGAATAGTCTGAAATTATTGCTGCGTTATTAAAGTACAATTTGTAGAAAACATCAATATTTCAGGTGTATTCACAATGGTGGTATCACTTTTACTTATTATTCATCTCGGGTCAATTTCATTCGTTTGATCTTTGTGAAATGATTATTCGTCTGAATCACTTGATTGCTTATTAATTTTAAAATTATCAACTTTTGCTGTTGGGTATTAAGTCATATAATGTTATGATATGATAATAATTAACGATAAAATAAAAATTGAAAAAAAAAAAAAAAAAAAACGATTGTTTGAGAGAGAGGAAGGTAACAAGTGAATACCGGAATGCAAATTTCTTGTTATCGAAAAAGATGAGAATGTTTGAAGGAAACTTCTTGCTGTATTATCGATGCATAATTTTTTTTCCTACGACATTTGCTTATTAAACTAATAAAAGTTGTTCAGTGGGAAACGGTTTGTATTAAAATTATGAAAACTGATTTGGTTCCGTTTTTCCGTTTTTAACACATGTGCTAGGACAGCTAACATTACTGTTACAATACACGAATGAATTAATTTAATTTGTGCAATAAAAGTATTTGAAAAAATGATGAGTAAATTCGAACTGATCCTTTAACAGAACAAAGATGTTTGGAACAACAAGTTGAAATGACCGATTTTTTGAGTGAGTAGTGACATTGAGAAAGGAAAAGCAATCATCATGGGAAAGGAGTCAAGTAATTATTATGATCTGTTGTAGCGGTTCCTTATCAATCGATAATATTTGATGACAAAAAAAAAGAAAAAATTGGAAGCAAAAGAAGAAGAAATTGATATTAATTGATAATAGCATAAAAGTTATTAAAATTGTTAAAGTGAAAGAAATAACTATATTAAGAAAATAAGAGTTATTAAAAAAAAAAGAAAAATTATATAAGTATTACGAAATTACTAAAATTTCGCTCTTTTCTGGCTTCATTAATTAGATTACAACGATTAGATGAATTTTTATTTGTGGATAACCATTATTTCATAATAATAGAAAAAAAAATTATTAGCAAAAGATATGAATAAATGCTGACAATAATATCATAAAACTTATTAAAATTCTATTTCCATTGGCTGTTATTAGCTTATTTCTTTCTGTTCCTGAAAAAAAAAAAAAAAAAGATTTTTTGAAGAAAAAAATAATTAACGATGTATGTTTGATAACACTGATAACATTACTAAATTAGCAGTCAATACTTTACTTTATGATGATCAGAAAAAAAATGGAAACCGATTTTTGTGCATTTCTTGTGAAAAATCAAATAGAAGTTTCTCCTTTTTTTATTCTTTATTTTTTGAAAGGAGGATGAAAATTTCATTTCCTGAAATTGTTTTTTCTTTTATTATTGTTTTTTTTTTTTCATCAGTGATTAAGAGGATTATGAGGATCAGTGAAAGTATGCTTACCTTAAGATCAGTTCACCTTGTCGGGATTGCCCTTTGGACCTCGAGGGCCTTTCATGCCCGGTTTTCCGGTCATTCCTTGAGGACCTTTAGGTCCTACAACACCTGGTTTACCTGGTGGCCCAGGATCGCCTCGTGGACCTTTAGGACCTTTGATATATTTGACGGCATATGAGATCTTTAAAACAGGTGAATTCACTTCTCTCTTTCTCTCAAAAAAAGAGAATGCATACAGAGAATGGGGAAAAGGAAGAGTGAAAGGAAGAGAGAAAGAATGAAAGAAAGTAATGGGCAAAATTCATTGGTAAATTTTATGTTTACTAAAATTAATTATGGAACAACACGTGCACTTATGTTAATAATGTTAAAAGAATAAATTAAGGTATCATTTTTTGCTGTAGAATTCGAGAGATTTTCGTTATAATTAATTTTAAGATTTTTTTAAACTATAAAATGAACTGAATTCTAATAAAAAGTTATTTCTTAAAAAAATGAACAATGAAAAATTTTTAAATCTTTTGATAGTTCTTAATTAATAATTTCATTGTAAAATTTATTATACCTAACTTTTAATCCGATTATGCATGTATCATCAATAATGTAATTATTTAAGATTAATTAATTATTTGAGAACAAATTTTGATAATTTTTTGATTGTAAGAAAATTTTTCATTTAAACTTACGCTTAGTAAAAAAATTATATGAAAGTAGAAGATAGCAATATTTTTCATCGTTTCCTTTTCCCCTTTTCTTTTTCTTTTCTTATTTTATTTTGTTTTCTGCCTGAAACCAAGACATTTTAATGAAATGTAAGGAATGTTTTTTAATCCAAAATATTGGAAATTAATAGATGAAATTGCGCACTTCAATCATTTGAATAAGCAAAATATAATAATTGTAATGAAGTGATTAGCAGAAGACAATAAAAGCTTCTATAAAAGCTTAAGATTATGCGTGTAAAAAATAAATGCTTAAATAAAAGCTTAAAAAAATAAAAGAATAAGTAAAAGACAATATTTATTTGGTGATAGCTTTTCCAATCTATTTCAATGCAAATCGATAAATTATTTATTTCCAGATCATGCAATTTAATACCATATAATTTATCAAATTGATGATATTTTAAATAATATCATTTTTTTTTTTTTTTTTAATTTGCTAAAAATATCGAGGAAATAAATAATGCAAATAATAAATGAATAATATTTGTGAAAGGAAAGAGAAAAAAAAAAAAGAAAAAAGAAACAAACACTTAATTTGATCAATTCAAAGTGCTGATTAAAATTTAATGCATAAATGTTAGCTTTTATATTATTAATTTTCTTTTGTTTAATTTTATTGATAGAATTATTTTTATATTTTAAAGATTTTTGCATATTTTACATTCATTTTATTTACAATACATTGATAGAAAAGACTGAGAGAATTCCACAATGCTTAAATTGTTTATCAAAATTTATCCGAACATCTACCACTTCGATTTTTTTTTTTTTTTTGTTTCATTTCGTCTTGTTTTGTTTCGCTTCTTTTTTCTTTCTTTCCTTATTTATTTTTTGCTTTTTTCTTTTTTTGTGTCATCTCTTCTCTAAGATCTTCAGATTTCATCCATTTTTCATTTTTCACAATCTCCTCTTTCTCCTTCACAAATAATTTTTTTTTTTCGAAATAACTATTTACATTTTATTTAATCATTTATGTACTTATAGATTATTCTTCGTTTGTGCAAAAGTTCGATATTTAAGAAGTATTGGAATTTCACTTTCATTTTCTGAAATGCCATTGATAATTAATGAACTTCATTAAGGTAGAAAAAAGAGGAAAAAGAAGGAAAATTTATAGGGCAATGAAAAAATGGGAAAAATACTGCACTTACAAAGATAGTCAAATAAATTTATTTCATTTCAAATTCTTTTTTTCAACGCGATTTTTCCGTTTATTGCTTAATTTTAATATTTAACATTTAACAAGTAATATTCCCTCAAATTAAAATTATAACATTATTCTCATTCATTATTAATTCAAAATTTCTAATCATTTAAAGGCAAGCTTAAGGTCTAGTGATAATTTTATATTAGTTTAATTGATTATTACATATAATTATATTTTTTTCGAAAAAAAAATTTCACTCCAATTTATCAATAATATTAAATATAACATTAATAAATTATCATAATTATTGTTGTTATTACATATAAAAATACTATTATTATCAATAAAATAATCACCATTTAAAACAAAATTCTAAATCACTTGTCATATGAGAATAATATGCATTTGTCTTCACATTCATATATTATTATTATCATAACATGCTATTCATTGTTGCTAGGGAACAACGATGACAACAAGGACAATTTATAGTTGGGATAAACTGCTAAAGGAAAATGAACTTTTATTTCCAATGTGATTGTTACATCAAAGACAAATCCTTTCGCTTTTTTTATCTTTTTCCTTTTCCTTTTAATTTTCTTTCTTCTTTCGTCTTTCTACTCCTTCAATTGCATTTTATTGTCGTCTAATATCATTTCTGCACAACTCAGCAATTTTGTTTAAATCTAATTTTTCTTTTCAAAACATATCGAAAGTTTTTTTTAATGTTTTTTTTAAACTTTAGGCCTTTTCTTAAAAAAAAAAAAACAGTATTTTCCTATCTCCGTCTTCCTTTCCATCTGTCTCTTTTTATGCAGTTATTTCGATTGATCTAAAATTACAGGAACGAAGGATTATTATTAATCACTGATTTGAAGAGTAAAATTTATTTAAAAATTTGATGCAATAGCGCAATATGCTATAACTAATAGCAATTTTGTTTACAATAAAAAAAACAATTCAGTAACAATAAATTGATAAAATTAAAAAAAAAAGAACTAATTTTTATTGGAAAAACGCAGAAATAGAAAAAATTAAAATAAGCCAAATCTGATATTTCAGTAAAATAAATTGAAACATATAGTATAAATCACTTATTTATAAAATAATTGTTAGTTTTCAATAATTTTAAACAGAAATTAATTTATATCATAATTTTATATTAATAATTAAAAACATTCAGGATTTTCTTTCCAAAAAAATTTATTTCCAATAATTTAATTGATATAACCTACAATTTAATTTAATAAAATGTTATTTCCTATCAATTAAAGATTTTTTCTTTTTGATCTAACGATTATCATTTGCAAAATTTAATTTATCAATGATTTGATAACAGGAAGGATGAAAGAAACGGTAAAAGAAAAGCGAAAAAGAAACGAGGGACAGAATGAAAACTCTTTTTTTTTTGCAAAATGTAATTTCACAACTTTTTTTTTTTGCGTCCGAATTTGCAAAAGAATTGTTCCATCATTTTTTCTACAAAATGCTTTTTATCGTTCCTTTTTTTTGGTAAATTTGTTGTGTGGCAGTTGTTGAACGATTTTTTGTTGTTTGAAATTTCCGTTTTTTCTTTTTTCCAATTTTAATTTAGTTTGTATTTATTTGTGAAAATTTTTTTCAGTGGTTTTTAGTGTAATTAGAAATGATTAAGAGCTATAATGATTAATTGTAACTTTGTTTTCAAATTAATTTGTTTAATAAACTTTTTTACTATGTTTGATTTTCCATGGAATTTGCTTTAAACTTACTCATTTGTTATAAGGCCTACTTTTATTATTAACAGTAATTTTATCGCTTAAATGCAAATAGTAAATAATTAAAATTCTAAAATATGACTTTTCAATATTATAACATCTAATTAACTTTCCAATTCTAAGACATTGCATAATTTTTTTCCATATATTTATAATTTTAGCGCATGCCATAAAAAGCCGTCATTAAAAAAAAAAAAAAAAAAAAAAAAACGAAATAAAACATTGTAAATCGATAAAACTGTAATTTTCGACTGAATTGAAAACTTTGAAATGTTTTGCATCAGATTTTAATTTCGTTTTTTCATTTTATGAAGTTTCATTTTTGCTGATGCTGATATATTATAATCAATCTTTTCTTGTTTTTATTCTCTTTTTGCAATAATCCAAATAATATTTAATAATGAAGTGCTATAGGTATAAATAATGATAAAAGCAGTGTCAAGAAGTCATAGGACAAATGATGAAAATTCATCAGGGAAATATGTCCAATATTCATCTTATTCATCTGTAAAAATCAACCAACATCTTAGTAGAGTAAATTTTAAATCAGAAAATGTTTAATACCCACTAGTTATATATATACTTATTATATGATAACTATAAATAAATAAATAGTTAATAAATTAGACAAAACTGGACTAGAGTAAACTAGGCTACATTATAAAAATTTCAAAGAAATTAAAGTAAGGACAAGAACACATATTAGTGATTCCAGTATTATAGATTTTAGCTAAGCAATATTTTATTTTAAAGTTATAGCTTTCTTTAACATAATATAATACTTGACAAATTATCACATGTCATCGTTCTAAATATTTTAATTGAAATGATTTTAATAAGATGATAAGAAATGGCTGATAAATTTTTATAACAAAAGTAATTAGCCATCACATTGCACAGTTTAAAAAGAAAAAATTAATAATTTTGGACTAAGAAGAAATGTTTACAAATGTATTTGTCAGCTAATGTTAACTTATGAAATTGATCTAATTCAATGTGTACGAATAAAACAGCATCGGTGATGACTAATGATTGACAGGATAATGGATTGATGTGTACTTCTGGAACAGATCATCATTGAAAATAGGGTCATTGACATGAGTGACAGTTATACAGCTCATTGTTACGATAAAGAAATATGCAATAACAATTAGTCACGGATTCCCGTAGTAATTTGACCAGATACCAGCCAGATCACATCTGCTTGCTTATCTTGCATAATAGTTTCATCAAATATCAATCAAATCACATCTGCTTGCTTGTTTTAAATCAGATCAGACCTGCTTGCTTAATTCGTGTAGCGAATATTAATCAGATCAGGTTTGCTTGCTTAACTTACTTCTTAGTAATTTGATCGGAGGAAGATAATTTCATTATTTGTACATTCATACTTAATTTTCTCATCGAAAATACTATTTTTCACAATCGAAAAAAAGTATTTTCACAATTAGTCTAAGTGAAAAAGATTTAACCAGTAAAGAAGGAATAAGCGAATAATATTACTTTCGGTTCATTATAGCAGATTTGTCTTCTTTCCATTTTTCAAATTTCATCTTCGTTATTGTCACCGTTGTTATTGTTGTTTTTGTCGTTTTCATCATTAATTTCTATAATTCTTTCTCTCTCTTTCTCCCTCTTTCTCCCTCGCTTTTCCACTCTCTCCATTATTTCCATTCTCTCTCTCCTTCTTTCTTTCTCTCTCTCTCATTCTTTCAATCATATTTAGGCATGTCGCAGTGTCCCTCCATTTTTAATTTCATCAATTCTTCTGAGCAAAAAAAAGAGAGTGAAAGTAATACAATAATTAAGATGGAGTATACAGGTAAATTATTCAGCAAATTATTTAATCAATAATTTTTCCTTTAATTGCACTATTACCATTAATGTAATGTTCGACCTCGTTCATTTTTGCTACAAATCGATTGATAGCGAAATTAACGCTTAAAATTCATTGATGTAATATGCATTCGTTAACTAAATTAAAATTACATTTGTAATTTATTATTACAGCAAAGGCATATTAAACGATTGAATATTCTGTGATTATTATTGATCAATAGACAGTGGTTGATAAATGTCATCAGCACATCGGAAATGTCCCCTAAGTGGTTTATTTGGCACACCACCATCAGTCAATTTTTTCTCGCCTTCTACAGCTGATACTAATATATTTCTTATTGCAAATAATACTATTATTGATAATAATAGTAGTAATGATGATAGTAATGTTGATGATGATAGTGATAATATTGATAATGTTGTTGTTGATAATGATGATAGTGTAGCAGTAGCAGCAACAGCAGTAACAACAACAATAGTAGCAGAAGAAAAAGCAACAATTTGTGATCAATTCTCGGAAGAGATTGTTAGCACACAACAGCAACAACAACAGTCATCACAAGATATTTCAAAATTATCACAAACAATGGATGGACAGTTAACATCATTTCTGGCTAATACATTAAGTAAGTTTATTTTTTATTTATTTATTTATTTTTTGTTTTTAATTTCATTTCATTTTCATTCATATATTTTTATCAGAAGGAAAAAAAAAGTTTATTTTTTTTTTTTCATTTTCTTCATATTACAACTACTGTTTTTTTTTTTTTTTTTTTTGAAACATTAAGATTATCGTTATTAATTATTTTATTCATTTTGCTACATTAAGGAAAGTATTATTTATTGTAGTTAAATTATGGTATTTTGTTTATTTTTTTTTAATGAGAATGAAATCTGTATGTGTGTCCTTTTTTTTCTAGCACATTAAAAAAATAAATCTTAGATATCCAGTCTAACCTAGTTAGTTAATTTTTTTTCTTTAATTAACATAGCAAAAATTCTACTACATTATAACCTGTATGTAAATGATAGATTAGTTGATAAATGAATGATTAAATTAGAATGCCGAATTAGTGAGTAGTTATTCTATATATGCATATAGCTTTATTTATTAAACAATAATTCAAATGTCTTAAATAATATCTTTGCTTGATAAATTTTATTTTTGCGGATTTTGTTTCTAGAGACAGTTTTTTTACAGAAACAGTCGATTCAGATGTCCTCGATTGTGGTCCATTTCAAGTAGGATTTATGGAAGATTCCGATCATCATATGGTTTCACCTCCTTTTGAAATTTCGCAATATCCGATTGAAGTAAAAGAAAGTAAAGATGCAATTCATCGACAGCTTACAAATAGGTATTTCTAGCTCTTAGCATACTTATGAATTAATTATTCTTGTGATGCTTTCATTAAGAAGTTCACTTTTTCTGTCCAGAAATATATGTTACTTTTGCTTCTCTAATTAAGTTCACCAGTTTAAAAGTATTTCATCAATATGGCAAGAAAATTTCGTTCATTTTCTTTTTGCTTGTTTGTATCTTATTTATTTTTAACTTTATTTGGAACTTTATACAAATGAACAAACTTCTCAAACAAATGATGATGGAAAAAATGCTTCTACTTAATCCAGACGATGGATTTAATAAAGTCAGAGATGAATAGAGCTCACTAATTTAACTAATTTAAGCAATCTAAAAACTAGTTTTTAAACGATATAGTTTACTTCTTTTCAAATCACCTTGGAATTGTTTTGTTTTTAGTTCTAGCTTTGTATTGAAGAAGCAAAAGGCTAGTATCGAATTTTACAATCGAATGCAAGAAAAGGTTCAATAAAAGGCGGTCATTTAATTACTAATTTACCATTTTTACAACTTTCCAATCTGTAAGAAATTTATTTGCTAGAAATTATTGTAAGTTAAGCAGGTTAACCTCAATTATTGCTTCAATAGGACATCTTTCTGAATGACCTCAATATGGCGACATTTTGTTATTAATAGTATCATGAAACTGCATACTTATTGATAATCAATATGATTTAAAAACTGTTAACTTAAACTTCGTTTGATAATCTGTTCAAAGCATCAAATTTTTTTAAGCTGATAAAAACAAAGAGCAAAAAAAAAAAAAAAAGAAAAAATCAGTATATAGATTCTGCTACACTTTTTTCTAAACTTCATTAACCTTTCGCTTTTTTTTTTCCATATACTGTACAAATTAAGTAAAGTGGATAACATGCAGGTAATCATTATTCATATATTTGTTACAATAACAAAACTAACCTCTTTGTTAATTAAATTTACAGGTGTCGAAATTCTGGAAAATTACGTCGTCATTCTTTGCAGTGAGTCATAATTTACTCGTTAATTTTTTTTTTTAATTTTATTTCATTGTTCAACTGATATTGCCAATAATAGTGTAATAAACGAATGAATGCACTAAATTTGATTTTATTATATGATATTTCGATGAATGTGAAATATTGTATGGGACAAAATGCGATACTTTTCGATCGTTTAGTGCAACTGCATCTTACAATTGTTGTGATATGCATGCTAGATGCAATCGTACAAAATGGTGCCTTCTTATTTTAAATAATTTATGTTTTTATTATCTTTAAGGTCAACCATTTGCTAATCACTATTCATTGTTAGCGCATTGCATGACTGTTATTTTAATCTAATTAATTTTGATCTAGTTTTATCTGAAATGTTTTATTATATGTATATATTTCTTAATTGCATACATTTTATGCAAAGTGTTCAATAATTTTGCACCGAAAAAATATTTAATGATTAAATTTATTATTCATTCTAAACTAAAATATGCTTAGATTAAAATAATATCCCAAATAAATAAATTGACCATTTTATAGGAGTTGAATGAATTATACCTGTTTAAATTATATATATTTGCGTCATCATTTCTGTTTCTTCGTTTTTCCATCATCTAATATTAATCGTGCATTTTGCTCGTTGTTACCATTTTTTGCTTCTTTATTATTTCGAATGCTTGTTCATAGATATTTTATTATTACCGTTAAACATTTCACTTCTATCCATTACGATCATTTTGAATCATAATTTGAGAGTTAGTATAATATATATCTTTTTCTAAAAGATAAACGAAAAGAATAAGATAATTCGATCATCACTAATTTGCATTAATTCATGTACAATCTAGTGGAGATTTTAAGCTGTTGAAATTTTGTCATTTTAATATCCTCAATTCAGAATTCATACATAGAATTTTTTCTTATTAATACTATCTAATTATCATTACTGCTATTTTTACTGATTTTATCTTGATAACCATTCTTTTTATAGTATCAATATTATATTATTAACATAATTATTATTAGTATACTTTTTTATATACTTAACTAGTATATATAAACCTAATCGTTAATAGTAGTTGCAGTATTATTTGAAATATACTAAAACACATGAAAATATTAACTTGAGATTTGCAATTGAAATATGAATTATTTAGATGAGAGCAAAAATGCTTTTCTTGTACATCTGAAATTAGTAATTGATAATGTTGAAAATTTAAATGGAGGGTAAAATTTTCTATGCATCTTTGAAATAGAAATCAAACTAATGATCACTATTTTCGTTTCTTATTTTGTAGAGCTCGAATGGAATCAGCGCAACATGATGGTGATTCTTCACTTCTACAAATTAATTCACTCGGATTGTTAAATGGAATGGATGAAAATCTGGAGCTTCGTGCTCGATCACCACAACATGTTGAAATGTATACATTCCGAGATGCTGTTGATGTTAATTATCAACGAATGGCCGTAACCGGAGAAGAGCTTTCTGGGGTTTGATTAAAATTTAAAAAAAAGAAAGAACTCTATTTTTTTATTTTTTACTTATCAAAATTTCATTTTCCATATTTGATTTTTTTGTTGTTGTTGACAGTTTTAAGCGAATGAAATATGAAAGAAGAATGAAAATTTAGCAATGTAAGGTGTATTTACTTGTAATGTTGAAGTTTGCTTCTGTATAAATTAATGGATGAACTTGAATTTCTTTTTTCAGGTACCACTGGAAGATTTAAAAGAATCGGCCCGGGAATTAACTGAAGCACTGATGCTACGTAAGGAATATATGGAGCGTATTGGAAATCAATTTCCGTTAACAACCAAAAATTTTCTCGCTGGTTACTATCCGAAAAATTTGCCAAAATATCGACGAAAAAACATCGAAATGAGTTTGTTTTGTAATAATATTATTATATATACATACTTTTTTTTCAAACCTAAGACGCATATAAATTCATTTTGTTAAGAGCACACCGTTTACTTTTTAAGCTTTGTAATTTCCCTGCGTTTAGATTTATTTCATACGCTGTAATTTATAAAAAAGTTTTTCTTTTTTGAAGTTCATACAAGTCAGCTGTTTATGTATAATCGTTTAACAGCAAATCACATAGTTTTAAGTTTTAAATTGTAGAGCTTTCATTATATCATAATTAGATATTTAAGAGTGAGGGAAAATGATGCAACTAATAAACCAAAGCTTTAGTCAATTTTTAAAAAACACTTCAATTGCATCAACTACTTATTCTTTTCTTTTTAAAAAGATAATGATTCAGTTCTTTTTTTTTTTTTTTTTTTTTCAAATGCATTACAATTTATGCTGTCATGTTCAATTGCAAAATTCAGCTGGAATTTTATGTAGGTTTTTTTTAATTAGTTTAGATCTTATTTCATTCTCTTTTCCTTTCTCCCTCATCTTGTTCTTTATTTCGATATTGCTTTTAATTTTTCTTTCTTTTTTTTTTTCTTATAATATAGTTGCTTTACAATTGAATTTCTTAATTATTGGTTGTAATGTACTTTCTTATCATTTTTTATAATTGTTTTCTTGTTACTGCTATTAATATGATTAGCACTATTAAATTTTTTCTTTTCCTTTTCTTTTTTTTTTTTAAGTTTTTGCAAATTTTAAGAGTCTTCACATGACGTCTCAAAAGATGCTATGTCAGCAGCATTGGATAAGGAGAGGCATCCGGAAGGTAATAAATATAATTTAGGTTAGAAAAATAAAAAAGATTTTAGTGATTTATAAGAAGTAACAGCATGAATTGGGGTTTTTTTTTGGCTAACATATAAATTGCAATCTTTTTTTCTTTTTCTTTTCTTTTTTTTTTTTTTTTTAAATTTCGGATCAAATCCTTTGTTCAGTCGATTTATATCTATAAATATAGATTATTATTTTCTTGAGAACAAAACGTCAAATATTATTTTTCTTGTATTTTTAACGAAAACAATATAGGAATGGATTATTATGTATCTAAATTAAAACAAATAAAATTACCTAACAAAAATAGCAAGAAAAATAAAAGGAAAGATTGAAGAAGGAAAGGAAGAAAAAAAGTGAGTTATTTATATGATATCATAACATTAAAGTTTTAATATGTTAGGATAACATTTAGAGTTTTGTACTAGAAAAGTGTGTTTTAGAGTAGTATTTTTGAACTAACTCGCTGTTTTTCTTCTCATTAAATTTGACTTATTACAGTTTATAGTTTAGCAAATCTTTTAATAATAATTGTTTTTGTTTTTTTTCAAATTTTATCTTTTTTCTTTGATTCTTTTTTTCATCTAAAATTTTGAAATTGCTTTTTGTCCTTTATCTCATTCAACTTTTCCTGTTTTATAATATTAATTTTTTTTTAAATTACACTCACAATGACTCTTGTCTGGTGAATTCAGTGTGCACTTTTTGATGTTATATTGCTTACCTTAGTTTGTTTAAATTTAAAGAAACTAGGATGTAATAAAAAAAAATTTTAAAGAAACTAGGAACTTAGATTTACCATTTTTCGTGGTACAATAGCAGTAATACTTTTGATGGTATATTTGTCTAAAATAATTTTGAATTTAGAAATGCGTCATCTTCATATTTTGATATTAGCCAACTTTTGTTATTTATATGCCATGAAGACTGATTGATAAATTACAAAATGTTTAAAAAACAAATTATTGATATAAAAGAATATGCTAAATTTGACCAAATACTATTGACCAGTGGCGAGTAATGTTTTATTTCCTTTTATATTAACAGTTTGTTGTAATTTTACTTTTTCTTCACTGGAATGCATTTCTGTTAGATATATCATTCTTAAAGCGATGGTTTCCTAAGCTTATTATTCAGATGTCCGAATGAACTAGTATGTTTTTATTTCATATGCAAATTTAATTGAGCTATATGATAGCAATATTCATAAATGTTGAATAATCATTTCATAATATGCAAATCATCGATTAATTTATTTTCTGGTTATTGTGGCTTTTTTTTTTTATTTTTTGGAATATTATTCAAGATATTTTACACGTTTACTATTCATTTGGGCGTCTAAATTTAGATGAAATCCTATCTTTTGCTTGCATGCATTTAATTTGAATTATTTTAACTAATGCATTTTGAAGATAAAAGTTTGATTCAGTGAAGAAACTAATGAAATAATTTTCTAATTTTCAGCTGCACAAACATCATATAATCCACCTCTTCCACCAGAAGACCATTGGGGTTTAAATATACCATTACCAAAATATGAAAAAACTTATATATTGAAACGAAATCGTGGCATGGTAAGTTGTTTTTCTTTAAATTATTAATAGTTATTTGGTTTTTTTAATAGGTATAATTTTGCTGCCAAATTAATTAATGGTATATTTGAAGAATTGAAGATTTCAACAACAACGAAAAAAAGAAAATTGCAGGTGGAAATTCTAGATAAAGATGAAGAAGTACCACATCAGTTTCGACATGCATATATTTCAAAGGAGAAATTTTTAAGAGATTTAGAAAGGCTTTCAGTAATGATTGTAAATGGACCGCTGTAAGTAAAAACTAATTTCGTTTTGTTTAGACATTCTGTTCTTAAAATTTCTTAATTCTTTTTTTATCTCTCATTTAAAACGACGATTTTTTCTTGTGTCCTAAAAAAAAAGGTATTTTTGTCAGATTGATTTTATTAGACAGTGCTATAAATTTCATTATCATGTGATACTTAAGAAATTAAAGGATTAAAATATTGGCTCAGTTTTCTTTTTTAATTATTAGTCTATTTCTTTCTTAAAAAAAAAAAAAAAGTTTTCAAAGGATTTTCATAAATGGCATTCTATTTTTGAATTAAAGCTGCTTCAATTAATAATATAATAAATTGTTACTTCCTATTATAATTCTATAATTATTTGTATTTACTTATCACTTATGGTTTTACTAAGCTGTAATCGATCTGATAAGTGATAGCCATGATAATCTCATGTAGAGTTATCATTTTTAGAAAAAGTTTTTGCTATCGACGATTGTGCTTCTTGCAAAATAAGTTCCAATTACACACATTGATGAATGAACTTCGAGAGCAACATGAACAGAAATCTGTGCCACATCGTGATTTTTATAATATTAGAAAGGCAAGTGTTTAGAAAATTAAGTCATAAACACATAAAGTTATAATTTTTACCTTTCTTATACCTTTCTTAATCAATACTAATGAATTTAATTTAATAAAATTGCAGGTTGATACACATATACATGCTGCTAGTTCGATGAATCAAAAACATTTGCTACGTTTTATTAAAAAAAAGATGAAAACAGAAAAGGATACAGTAGTTTTGGAAAGGGTTCATTTTTTTTCTCTAGTTCTTGTTAGCTATTACTGATATGCTAATACGTGGTCATTTAGTTTAATTAAGATGATATTTTGAACTGGAAGGTTTCAAATTAAAATTACTTAGGGGATATGAAGTTAAGATTTAGTTAAAGCAACTGAGATTTTAAAATTTCTTTGCTTTGTTTGCATTATGAAGAATAGTTTTTCTCTTTTTTTTCAGAATGGTATGAAAATTACTTTGGAGCAAGTTTTCGAGGGTTTGTTTTTGGAAAATCTTCTGACTACTTTCAAATTTGATTTTAGTTGCTTACATTCTTGCTTATCATAAATTTGGCGGTTTTTTTAATTTTAATTTGATACTCTTTTAAGTCTTTAGATATTTATTTAAGGATATAATTTTTCTTTTATTTATATATTAAATAAAAACAACAGTAATTTCAGTGTTAATTTTTTCCCCTTTTTGAAGCCATTTTTTTTTTTTTTTTTTAGTAGTATTTTTTGCTTACATTTATTGGTCTCATCTTTATACATAATGAAGAAGTAGGCATGGTATTTTAAAATGCTAAGTATTTTTTCATAAGATTGATACAATATCATCCATTTTTCTTTTCCGCATTTCACTATTTATTTATTTTTTATCAGGTCTTGGCATTAGTGCTTATGATTTATCAGTTGATATGTTAGATGTGCATGCAGATCGAAATACTTTTCATCGTTTTGATAAATTTAACACCAAATATAATCCTGTTGGTGAAAGTACGTTACGTGAAATTTTCATCAAAACTGATAACTACGTTGGTGGGAAATATTTTGCTGATGTTTTAAAAGTGAGTTATTTTCCATTTTACCCTAATAATTTTTCAATGTTATTCAATGAAGTTAATTGTCATAGTTTTTTTTCTCATATTTGTAATTCATGAAATTTGCTTTAAGTAATTTACATCTTAATTTAATTTATGTTTTCTTAAAAAAAAAAAGAAATTGTTTTTCAAATTTTTGGTCTATAAAGGTATGAGTTTAAATATTGTTTGAGGAGGTTTTATCTGATTTGGAAGATAGTAAGTATCAACATGCTGAACCACGCTTGTCAATTTATGGACATAATAAAGAGGAATGGGATAAGTTGGCTAAATGGGCAATTGAAAATGATGTTTATTCAGTGAATGCACGATGGTTAATTCAGATACCTCGTTTATAGTTTGTTTTTACTGCTTCTTATTATCTTATTAATTTAAATAAAGCATATTCTAACTTTTATTATAATAAATTAGAGGAGCAGATATTCAAAAATTAAATCACAAAAAAAAAAAAAAAACTTAACTTATAATCTTCTGTATTTTCTAGTTTTTTTGCAAAATTCTGGATTAAATTCTTAGTGCTTAAACATATTTTAGTGATGTTTATCGCTCAAAGAAAATGGTCAGAAATTTCGATGAAATGTTGGATAATATTTTTACACCACTTTTTGAAGTGACTAATAATCCAGAGTCTCATCCACATCTTTTCCGATTTTTGCAGCAAATTTCTGGCATTGATTCTGTCGATGATGAAAGTAAACTTGAACATATAAAAGTAAGTAAACGATACGTTGGAAAAAAAATTGATAATCAAAAACCAATTTATAGTGCTATTTATTCTATGCCTAACTTATTTTGTCATAAAATAATATCTTTTAATGTTATGTTTTATTTCTTTAATGAGAATGCGATAAATATTAATTACTTAATTTTAAAATTCATCTCAATGAAGTCATATGAAATGTACATTTGATATTTGTCATTGTCTTTCTTTATTACTATTTTATTTGTTGTTTAATTTTCTGTAATTAAACATAACTATAATTGCAGTTTTTTTTTCCAGCTAATTACAACCTCTTTCATTTGAACCTAAAGAAACGATGGGATGAAATAGGAATGTTATAAGAAACAAAATTATTGAAATATGTAAAATTGGGTTAAAGTGTTTTCTAATATTGCAGTTTGATCGCTTAACACCGGAGCCGAAAGATTACTGCGATGCTGAAAATCCATCATATGACTATTATTTATTTTATATGTATGCAAATTTAGTAGCACTCAATGCATTAAGACGGTAAGCTACTTTTTTTCTTGTTAATTTATTTTATTTCTATTGTAAACCAAAACGTTAGTATATATATATATTCTTATTTCTGCCATAATTCTTCAAGTGGGATTTTTTTTCATTTTAATAGTTTTCAAAAGCTCAAATTATCCTTTCCAAAATTTCAGCTATTACTAATTTAAGCTATTTATTTCATTTATTCTTCAGATTAGCTCTTATTTCATTTATTCTTGGCTTCTTTTCTCTCTCTCCCCTCTCTTTCTTTCTATTGAATGGTGGTGTATTTTTTCTATCCTCATCATACAGAATTTTTCGTACTTTTTTAGCTCAATAAACTGAGTTAATCAAAGTTTTAATCTAAGAATGAGCTATTTTAGAGAACGTGGCTTAAATACCTTTTCACTACGACCACATTGTGGTGAAGCTGGACACGTAAGCCATCTTGTCACGGGTTATTTGACATCTGAAAGCATTGCACATGGTCTATTACTTCGTAAAGTTAGCTATTGCTTCATATTTTTAAGTTTTAGAATTCAAAATTGATTTTTTTGTTCATAACTCACTTTGTTTCGAAAAAAAAAAAAAATTCCAGGTACCTGTTTTACAGTATTTATTTTATCTATCGCAAATTGGAATTGCAATGTCACCACTTAGTAATAATTCATTATTTATCAGTTATCATCGAAATCCATTACCAGAATTTCATATGAAAGGCCTAAATGTATCACTATCAACAGATGATCCTTTGCAGTTTCATTTTACCAAGGCAAATATTTATTTCAAATTTTATAATTTCCTTTTTACCTCTTTTTCTTCTTTCTTTATTAAATGAATGCAAAACGATATGGAGTTAAATTACAGCCTAAAATTCTAAGAAATAATTTTATCATTTTAAATGATATTATAAAAATGACTGTCAGTTATTCATTTAGGAAGCGCTAATGGAAGAATATAGCATTGCTGCGCAAGTTTGGAAACTCAGCAGTTGTGATATGTGTGAATTAGCTCGAAATAGTGTATTACAAAGTGGTTTTGAGGATAAGGCAAGCTTGTCATCCTAGATATTTCCAAGTTTTCTTTTTTTTTTTTACATTTTAATTTTGTTATTTCCATCATTTGAATAATTTATGATTTCTGGTCATAAAAAAAAAAAAAAAAACAAAAAAAAAAAATGAATTTTAGGTGAAAGTACACTGGTTAGGACCAAATTATAAAGAGGAAGGTGTATTGGGAAATGATATTTCACGTACTAACGTACCTGATATTCGTGTATCATTTCGTCATGAAACATTGGTAGATGAATTGTGCAGTTTATTTCGGACACGTAATATTCATCGTATTGAGCATTATAATGATGATGTTGGCGGTCTAAGAATTTAATCTTTCTTTTTTAATTTTATACTTCCAAATATTTTAGCACAAATTTTGCGGGTTTTAAATAAGGTTTTATATTTAAGTCTAAATTATTTGATGTTAGAATATTTTGAGAAATGAGAAAGCAAATAAATCAAAGGAATAAGAGGAAGCAAATAAATCATACTGATATTTAATACAAATTAGGAACATTTTACAAATAGTACTTTTATGCTGCATTAGGAAGAAGCAAATTGAAAACGTGAATGTAAATTTTTTGTTATTAAATTTCTGTGGAAAAAGAAACAATTTCATGTCTTTTTCATCTATTTAATCCTTTTTGTTTTTTTTAATAAACAAAAAAATTATTTTATAAGCAGATTATTATTATTATATTATTACCATTATTTTATTATTATCATTGTTAGATTAATTATTACCATTATCATTATTATTGTGACTACTATATTACTCTTACTATTATTATCCATTCATATTTTATAATATATTCTGGTTTTTCTTTCTAGAAATATTAAGAAATTTTTCTGTTCCTATTCGTATGTTCATTGTTGTCGGGTATATATTCCATAGCAAATACTTTCTCCCCAATAAAATGTTTTGCAGTACTACAGTTAAATTGTGGAATATTTTGACATGTTTTTCGATGTTAAAATTAATTTTAGAGCATAAATTAGGTATAATATCCCACTTCTACAACCTGAATATTTTTTACGAATTCATTACATTTTATTATCTGCTATAACTTTCCAAAATTTTAAGAGATTTCCATAATAAAATCTTATTTCCAAAGTACTTTGTAGTAAAGAAACACTTATTATGCAAACAGTTTAAATAGAGATTATTCATTGAAGTATTATTACTTTCAGAAAATCGGAATATTTGGCTCTGAAATGATCTAAAATAATAACTTTAAATAAATTAAATCTGGATTCCTTATCAATGTAACTTCTTGAATTTGCATAACAGTATTTAATTCTTGTCATAATCTTTGAATAACATATAACTATTCATTTTTAATAAAAATGATACCATTTAAAATGCAAAAAATAAATACTGTGTGTCATATGAGAAACAAAAAATTCACATAAATATAACGAACAGTAAAATTCGGATTTGGGAGTGAAAAGAAGCTGAAGAAAGTTTGGTTCTTTTTGTAGAAATTTCATCACAGCTTTACGAAGTGAATGCAAAAATCGAGTTTGAAAGAACTTTTTTTGAGTAAATTAAGAAATTTAAAAGACTCCACCTATAAGCTTTTCGTACTTTTTTGTTTTAGGGTATTTCTTGTGTGTTTCAAAACATTTCAGTAACAAACAGAAAGGTAAAATAGGCTGTTAATAGATTCAGCCAAATAAAAAGTGTTTGATTAAATGGGCACCGACTTTAGCAAATATGAAAACGGAATATTGGACAATATCGCACTTCTTAATGAAAGTAATAATTAAGAATAATTATGGACATAACTTTCTTTACAAATTGAGATAAATTTTTCAGAATAGTAAAAATTTTCATGGCACGTATTTTAGAATTAGAAATTGTGAAACAAACACTACTTCAGCAAAAAAAAAGAAAAATCGTATGACAACCAATTTTTTTTTTTTCGGCTTTTAGGTATGAAATCATCAAGACTTCAGTCTTTTTCTATAATTCTCTATCAAGCATCATTTCCTTTAACTTTTTTTTTTTTTTTTTTCAATTTGATGAAAGGAATATTTATCAATGATTTTGATTTATTAGCGGCATGGTAATATTTTTAATTCCAACAGAAGTATACAAATCGCTGTAACGAATTTATAGATTAAATTTATTCATCAAAAGCATAAGTCTGATCATCATGAATAAAAAGAAAGATAACAATTATAGAAAGAACAAAGTGGTGGCGCCTAAATTAACACAAATTGAAAATTAATATAATTACACGCTAATGCATTATTTAGTAAGACCAACAATTAACACTCCAATTAATCAACGGAGATCTTCACAGTGATCGCCTAAAATAAACAAATTAAAACATACATCTATAATGTTATAATCTTCTGTGAGCTTAGTACAAGATATACTTAGTACAATATTCTGTGAGCTTAGTACAAGATATATATATTAAATCTCATTCCAATATGTTCTAAAATAAATTTCATCACATAAAAAAAGTAGAGATATCAAGTAGTTTAAAATTAACGCTCTCTGTCCTTGAAAGTTAGTCAGATCTAAAATTTATGCTTGCCAGTTTGATAATAATTGAAAAAATTTTAAAACTTTATGACAATTATTTTCATCAACTCTATAGAAAGAATTAAGTATAAAATGAACTTACGCAGTTAAACGATCAACAGCTGCTTGCAATTCAGATTCAGTTGCCTGAGGATATGCAACAGCAGTTAGTAATTCAACCAAAAATTCGTCACATATACCAGGACAATTCTTTTCAGCTTCTTTGAAAGCTGCAGCTACAGCATTCAAATCAGTACCCGAATGACGAGTACGTGCTAATCTATCCAAAGCTGGCAGTAATGTATATTCCAAGACACCCTTCAAAACTGTGCTTAGTAGCATTGTTTTAATGAAACAAAATAATCTGAATTATTTAGATAATTAAAAAATAAATACAATTATAAATGTATTCCTTAATTTGCAGCTTATTCATTAATGCAAATAACTTTATATTCTACAAATCACATTATCTGGGTGAACGACAGTTTTTCTAATTATCTTAAACAAGCTATAAATTCTAAATATCAGAAAAAAAAAAATAAATAAACTGGTAAAATATTAAAGCAAATACCTTTCTCTTTGGTTGCTCATATAATGGTTCATTCATTTGTGTTGAAAGATGATTACTCTGATGAACTGATGATGTTCGGTAAGCAGTACGAATGTTTGATGCATTGCTAGTATGTGAGGACATATCACGACCACGTTGTACTGCTCCTTGCATATTCGAAGTATCATTGATTGCAAACGAATGGCGAATTAATGATGAGGTCTAAAGTACTCAAATTATTGTTTCATATATATATATATATATAATCCACCAAACTAGGTACTTACTTAAATAAGAAACAGAAGTTATGAAACTAGTAATTACAACTGCTATCCAATATCTTATCCGCCCCCCCCCCCCCCCCAAATCAAAACATAATCAGTAAAAGCAATACCTATCAAAACAAGATATATATAATTGAAACTATAAGGAAAGATTTTTTTAACCGCTTGAAAAAAGTTTGAAAATTAAAATAAAACAAACAGGTGAACTTGTTGGTGATGAAACGGCTATCGTTGTAGCATTACCATTATGTGCCACTTTGACATCATTTGTGAATGAACCCGTATTAGCATAAACTGGTGATGAATAGTTAGTGTAAGAAGTAGAAGAACTTGTTGGACGTAATGATGTCTGGCGAAGTTCATGTGCTACTTGCGCTACACTCTATAAAAAAAAAAAGAAAAAAAAAACCATTACTATATGAAATAGAAAAATAAAATTGGTAAACAAACTTTTCCAAATAATGCTGTGAGAGAAAACAATAATAAAAGAAAATATTTGGTAATTAATATCATAATCTTCCAAGAAAGAACCTGAACGATGATATGCAACGAATAGAAGCGAAATTACTAATTAAGAGCTCTAGTAATTCTTATACAAATGCATATTATTCACAATAAAAATTATAAAATTTAGAGATAAAACATAAAAAATAAAAGCTCCAATATGATCAATCAGATTAAAATGAGAATAACGTACAGAATCATTATTTCTATTAATAATTGTAGAATTTGGGCTTATTTCTTGAGTTCGCGATAAATAAGATAATGGTAAGGATGGTCTTGTAGTATCACTCTTCAGTCGTACAGTATTTTGGTCATCCATAACATCATTTGTACATTGTGGTGTTTTTATCGTATTAAACACCCAATCGGTTCTTTAAAAATTAATAATCAAATGTTATGCATAAAAAAAAAAACCGAAAAATGATTGAATTTGAAATTTTAATATTAAGAATAAAATTCTCTTTGCTATTAAGACTTGATCGTCATAACATTATTCTATGTTCAAAAAGAAACAGCGATAAAAAAAAGACAAACAGAAGATAACAATAACTGATATCTTCAAAAGAACTCTCTTAAATTGAGATAAGAAAAAGAAAGTTCAAAAAAAGAAAAAAAAAGTTCTAAATCATGTACCCGCCACTACTATCAACTTCTTCATCTTGGTCTGAATCGCTACTTGGTCCAAGTCTTGCTTTATAGTCCGCACTCCGCTCAATCAAATCCATTAGAATTGAATTTTTCTTTGCTCTTCGAATGAATGGATGCTTCAGTAACTCTTTTGCAGAAGGTCTCTAAAATAAACTTTGAAAATCTGCAAATTCAAGTAAAATAAATTTTATATTATTGAACTAACATTTCTACTTAACTACCATAAATTAAATGGATTTTTAAAGTATATGAGATTCTACAACAAACCACCACTGAATAAATGGATAATGTCATCAACTATCATTATTTTTCCTATACAAGATTAATTATGACATGCACAACAGCAACTAACATTTTCTGGATCTTTATTCAAACATAATTCGACGAAATCCTTGAACAGACGAGACCAGTGAGATCCATTTAGTTGTGGTGGAGGATTTTTGGGTATCAAAAATAATACACGCATTGGATGCAAGTCTGAATGTGGTGGTTCACCATTCGCTAGTTCTATGGCTGTAATGCCTAAACTCCAAATATCTGCCTAAAAATAAGACATTAATTAGCAAAATTTAATTTAACTTTAGTTAAATAAACTCGAGAATGACCCGAAATGATTTACAAGATATTACATCTGTCAAACAACTAACATAAAAAGGACACTAACCAAATCCTAAATCTTCAAGAATACTAAAACTAGAAGGCAAGAAATTAGATGTGAAAAGATTTTTTTAAAACCCCATTTCATAATAATAAAAATCGATCCATTACAACAAAATGAAAAAGCGGTCAGAAAAGAAAGAAAACTGGACGAATGGTAAGCTAAAAACTAAACCTTGAAATCATAAGAAGCTTGCCGGATCACTTCAGGTGCCATCCAAAATGGTGTCCCCACAAATGTAATTCGTTTTTTCACCGTTTCTGTTAGCTGCCCTGCGACACCAAAATCTGCTACTTTTACATCACCATTTTCGGACAGTAAAACATTTGCAGCTGGAAAAAGAAAAGTAAGCTTTTTCAACTAAAACTTTTTAAAATTTGCTTTACCAAGAACATTGCACATAATGACAAGGTTACTTATAAAGAGATACATGAAAATCGGTATACCAAAAGTAAGTTAGTTACCTCAATTATCTCCTCCTGTCCCTGAGCAAATTTATTTTTATGAGATAATGAACAAATAATCATGAAGAATAAGTACTGATGTTTAAATGATTTTTGGAAAAAGTTCAAATTGCTAAAAAAGATTTATTTCATTGATATATTAACGGATCTGAAAGTGACGTCGATTTTTGTTCTATAAAAACAAAAACTATATATTCTGAATGATATGGGATCCGAACATTAACTGCAGAGAAATTATTTTATGAAAACTATTAAAATGCTTTTCTAAGGTTATCAGAATGGAATTTGTTGGATGATTCCTAATGTTGTATTGGTCCTGACAAATTTGGCTATATTAAAAGTACCAATAAAATAATCTCATCATTGCGTACAATTAAATAGATATTTGCTAAACTATCCTACTAAAATGAAACATCATTAAAAAAATAAATAAATAAATACACACCCATAAGATCATTTCATGGTAAATGATTAAAGGTTACTTACCTAATTCAAGTTATTTCGTGTTAAAAGTGCATTTACTATTACGTGAAAAGAAAAAATGTTCAAAGAGATGTTCACAGTTTTTCAGTTCCAGTTGCTTAAATTACTACTAATATTCATAGGGAATTTTTCTTTAATTCAAAAAAAAAAAAAAATGATTAACATAACGTACAAATATAATAAAAAGTTAGCTGTTCCTCGTAAAATCCTCAATTTTTTTACCCCAAATTTCCATGCTATCCATTTTTTTTTTTCTCAAAAATTTACAATCTTAAAGTTTTATAGTGATAAAAAAAAGCAATTCATCATTTGTACAATGATGACATCAATGAATTATAATCTCAATATGGAATGAATGAATAAAAAAGATAAGCTCTAGATAATCAAAGTTATACAAATTTCAGAAAAAAGTTTTCGTTTTTTTTGGAAAGATTTTTCTGAAAAGATTTCAGAAATTTTTTTTCGTCAGAGAACAAAGTATCACACAAAAGTGAATGGAGTTAGCAGTGTTACAGTTATGAGTAATTCATACATGTCCGTACACTTTGATATAAACGTAGTTATTTACTATTTCACAGGATTCTTAAGCTTCACTCCACGAAAACGACTCTAAATTATTTACAGTGTAGCACCAAATAATTACTTCCAAAGCTTGCATTATAGTATTTTTATATCAGAAAGAAAAAAAAAAGGCTTAAAAAAAAATAAATTAATGAAAAATCGAACCTTTAATATCACGATGAATTTTCCGTTCAGAATGGAGATACTCTAAACCTTTCAATATTTCGCGCAGAATTACAGCAATATGACCTTCTTCTAATTTACCACATTTTGTTAAATCTAATGCTGAACCACCACCCAAATATTCCATTATTATCCATAGTTTGGATTCCTACAATAAACTTTTATCATCTGCAGTCAAATAAAATGTTATAATAATGATACCAAGGTAAGTTCATCTTTTTTATCAATGCAACAGAGTCTATTAACACTGCATTGTACTTTAAAGTTTAATGTTAAAAATATCTCAGACTTAAAATATGAAACCTTTTCATATCTATGGCAACAACTGATAAACGTTCATTAGAAAAGAAAACATTAAGAGAATAAAATATTCCTTGACACCACATAAATTCAGTCTAATTTTCAAAGTTAACCTCAACTACGGCACTAATTTCCCAGAATCTTTTACTATTTTAGTAGTACTTTTGCACTGATATCATTTACGAATATCATCGGTCAAAAGAAAAAATTCAGGAAATTGAAGTAGATCTTTCCCACGGAAAGAAATAATCGAACCAACTTTCAAATACGATCCGTAGTATTTCGTGACATATGGTGAATCACATTGACTAAGTACCATAATTTCTTGTTGTATGTCCTCAATTTCATCTTCAGCTTTCTCCAAGTCAATTATTTTTATTGCAACTACCTGCAAGATAAAACCCAGAGCTCATATACTGACTTAAATTAATACTTACTTAACAATATTGACTCAAATTCTTTCAAATTTCCCTAACCTTCGACTATCTCTTAGCAGCTAGGAAATGTTGAACTATACCACAAATATATCAATTTAAAAACATAATAAATTTTACAGACCTGTCCAGTACGATTATCAATTCCTTTGAAAACTTCGCCAAATGAGCCACGTCCAATTTTTTCCTGACGTGTAAACAAATATTCGGGATCAAGTTTCTGCAATAATGAACTTCATTTTGTTATCAAACAAATGAAAATTTAAAAATATAAATTTAATATAATCTTTTTTTATCAATTTGAATAATTTCTTTAATCGGTAGAGTCATCAGAAAAAAAACTATCGCAGCTACATTTCATACGGTTAAAAGCCAGTTATTTCATTCATTCAAAAAATTATAGCTATTTACAAACTAAAAGAAAATAAATGAGCACTTCTATCACTTCCTCATTTTTGCATATTTGAAAGTGGTGTTCAATTTTCAAGCATATTTTTAAAAATATATTTTGACAAATGTCTAATTTCGGAATGGTCTGCAATCAAACATCATAACACTTAAAACTACGCAGTTCTTTTTTGTACGAAGATTTAACAAACTTCTTTTATGAAGAGTAAAAAAAAAGATACCTACATTCTTTTAAATCATATCGTAAATCTTAAATATACTTGAATATACGATTATATAACGAATATAATTGGAGTATAAATAAAAGAATAAATCAAAAAAAAAAAAAAAAAAAAAGACTGAAATGCATATCCATCAGTTAGTGTTGTTCAAATATATTAATAATAGGTATTAAGTTAAGGCTTTGAGCAGTGTTACAAATTCGATCAGATTATAGGACAAATTTTATGGCTATCATCAACAAAAATGTCAAATGAGGAAAAGAGAATTAGATAAACAGACTTTAAAAGATTTATGAATACAGGTGGTGCAACTCAATCCCATTTATTGTACTCCGCATATGATTGCAATACATTTCGCTGCAATAATTATATAATTTGATTCAGCATTCCGGAAAACATCAAGTAAAAATACTTAATTTAATATTTATTGTATGTTTCAAACTTATAAATTGTTGCATTCATTTTTTTCAAGTACACTCGAATTTATTTAAAAAACTTAACGAAAAAAAAAAAAAAAAAACAACCCAGGCGAATCTTAATATTCTCAAAGAAAAAAGAAAAAGTTGAGATATAAAAGATAGTAAATGGCGAAGAGATTTGTAATTTGATGTCTAACAAATCAAGTCAACACAACAGTGACGAAGTTATGGAATGTAAACAAATATGACGGATTCACTTCCTTTCGAAATACTTTGAATCATCTGCATAATATATACTATTGCTATTGATAATAGTAGCTAATGAAATATAAATAAATAAAAGGAGAAATGCAATAAGTGACACTTTGAAAAGGTAACAATCAAAAAGATTGAAAAAATGAAGCGATTAGAATTCACAAATACTTACTGCAGGAGAGGGAGAGAGAAAGAGAGAGCAAATGAATTGCAGGTTTTTGTATTAAACTTAAAATTGATTTAAACATAAATTGTACTCAAGTATCAACCTGTTACGCTTAAATTTAGCAAAAGTTCCTATAGAATTTCAATTAAATCAAAAATAGATGCAAATAGAAATAACATGGGTTAATTAGCTTCTTACATTTAGAATATTAGCATAAGCAAAAAAATAACGAAGAGTATTTCGGGAAAGTTGCGCAAATTCATGATAGCAACAATGTAATAAGCAAATAAATTCAAAAATTGAAAATGCTGTGAAAGATGTCAAAAGAATATTATATTTATTTAAAAAGGATGAAAATGAAAAAAAAAAAAAAACCTCCGCTCCTAAACTCATCATTTCGGCAAATTAATTTACTCAGTTAATTTTGTTTTAGCAAACACATATCCAATTTTCAAATGTATGAAACAATATATGAGCAGAAACAAGATATTTCAGCTAAATTTTTAATGAGCAGTTTTTCAAAATAGAAAAGTCTAAAAGAAACAATAACATCATTGAATTGAGATAAATGCCCAGAATACATGCTTTAAATATTTCCAATTGGAATTAAAATTTAATTATGGTAAGAAAGATCTTTGGTTTTTAATAAACAATGCTAATAAACACCAATACTAACTGTTTGTTCTCAACCACATAATGATAATAAATGTTCTACTGACACAGAAATTCAAATATCACTATTCTCTCAAAAATTCCTCATAAGAATTTAATACTATGTTAACTACACAGCTTCTACTATTTCAAAATTTATTCACTATTTATACATCTCAACTATCAGTGTTTACTAAAAAAATATCTTTCCCAATTTAGAATCAAATCACAGCAAGACACTCTCCAAAACAATATTTATTTCTTAATTTTATATTGATTTTTACTGAAAAAGAAGAGACAGAGGGAGAAGGAAAAAGCTTAAGTCAGAAATGAAAATAATAAAAAATTAAATACAATTTAGAAAACAAACCAGTAAAATTTACATATTCTATACAGTCTACTATCAACTGCTACTATCTATACCATACTTCTCATTTTCGAAAATTATATCGAGAAGAACAAAGTTTGATTTATCAAAATGTGTAGTATATTTACAAAAATTAAGAATGTTATATCAATTAAGTATTTCTTTTTCTCTTCTCATCACTTTAATACCGTTATCAATAATAATTTATCAACTGCTCTAATGTCGGTCTGATCTTTTCATAGGATGAAAAAAACAAACACTAAAAATTCATTTTCATTTTATTGCTATGCATATGACTTTCCCAATAATATGAAAATAATAGCTTCAAATAATATAAGCAGTCAGATTAGATTAAAACAAATATTCTTCATGGTTTTTTTTTTTTTTTTTTTTCACTAAACTTGTACATAAACTCAAAAATGATTTATAAATTTTAGTTTGTTGCACATAATGAAACACAACTTTCACGTAATTTATAAGAAAAATCTAATCTAACGCAAATTTCATTTTTCCAAAAAGAAAAAAAAAACTATGTGTAATTCTCTAGTATTGATTAAACTTCATTAAAAAAGTACATTCTACGAGGAATTAAAATCTTTAGTCTTTATTATCACTGATATCTCTATGAAGACAAATTTCATGCTAGAGCACATCATATACATGGCTCGAGTTTCTTTCTCTTCATCAATCATGAAAACTAATAATTAATATTAAGTACTAATAAGCAAAAAAAAAACTAATAAGTAATATTAGCTAATGCGAGTACCAAAGAACAGAGAGTCTTTTTTAGCTATAAATGACAATAAACGACATAATAGAGGAGTCAGTGAGTGAACAAAAATGCAAACACAAATTATTTTCTTTTTCGATTTAAATTGTGTATCTGCAAAGTTTCAAGAATAGTAGATAAAAGAACTTTAAAGCTTCTTTTCTTTTTTTAATTTTCAAATCAATGACAGATGGGAGTCAATTCTTTTAAATGTGCAACCAATTTACAATTACATTTTGCAATTTACTCATCATTATTTCTAAATACTTCAAAATTTAATTTTTTATATATACTTATATATATCAATAGGATGATTAAAATCCTTTATTTATTATGACTACTTTTTGAAACACTTTTTTGTCCTATTGAACGAAATAAGTTCAAAGTTTTTCACATTCGTTTAATTTTGCTCAGCTTACCAACAATAAAAACGACATTAAAAGATGTTACTTTGTCCTTCTTATCGCTTTTTTTCTTTCGTAAATGCTATATTAAATGTAAAAAAACAAAAAAAAAAAAAAAAAAAAAAAAAATCAAAAACAGTACCAGAGAATTTTGGCACCATTTTCTCAACGGATAAATAGACAAATAAGTAAATAAATGATTAATATGACTGCTATTTGATTAAATAAAAAAAAAAAAGGCAGTAAATTGATATGAACACACACACACAGTCATTAGCAAACGATTGCTACGCTATCATCTTTTAAATTTTTGTCAATTCAATAAAAATAAAAAAAAAAAGAATGTTAAAATAAATTGTTACATTCCAAATTTATTTGTCTATATCATGATGGAGCATGATTCAACTATATGGTAAGCTATGATAAACTGACAAAATTAAATGCCACAATTTCGACCCAAATTTCGTATACCTTGTAAATTCCTAGTTAACTAATATGTATATATTTTTTCTTTCATTTTCTAGTATTACATCATAGAGTGTACATTTCTTTCATACCTGAGAGGTGATGATGGGTTTTCCTTCTTTTCTGTATTGAAAGTGAAAAGGTATATAAGGACAAATTTAACAAATTCATATTAGTCACATATAAACGTTTATATGTGAAGTTGAAGTGCTCTAGTATCGCAGTCATACTAAAAAGAATATAACATAACTCATAATAAAAAAAAGCAAATAATAAATTAGTAAAAAAAAAATTCTTTAATTTTTCAAAATTAGTTCAGTCCTTAAAATTAACGGAAAAATAATGTACACTTTGTCCATGATTTTGCGACAATATTATGAAATTATCTCTTTTACATATTCTCACACGAAGTATATATACTGTTTATTTAACAACCAAAAAATTTAGGCAATCTTAATTTAAGGATACTTGAAAAAATAGATGAATTTTAATTTGTCCGTAAATTTAATATTCCAATAAATATATGTTTTTCTAAAAAAAAAAAAAAAAAATGTAGTATATGTTTTCTTGTTACGTCTCTTATTCAACATTCCACATGTTTTCCTCATTTCCAGATATATATTCAAAATTACGTCTTAATTGCTCAACAGCCAACTAATCCTATAGCAAGAAAGTAACTGTATTAGTTGAAGCATTCGGATTTAAGAATTTGAATTTGTCTACCGAACATATCAAATTATCTTTCAGTAACTATTAAAAAACCGACCAAGAATAAAGCCTTACGAATTACTATAAACATAGCAATTCCTTCATAATATTAAACAGTTTTCAATTTCCTGACCAAAAATAAATTAACAGTAGCGCAAGAAAATTAGAAAGCCAAAAAATTAGAAAAATTAAAGCTCTAATCGAATATCAGCGCAAAAAAATACACCAAAAAAAAAAGGCATGCAAAGTTCCAAGCCGAAAAATGCATTGAAGAATTATGGACTAATTATATGTACCTTTAATATTTTTATCTTTTACTTTCAGACATATATATATATATATATATGTTCTATCTAGTAGTATATATATACTACTAGATAGAAACATCACAGAAAGCTAGTTCGTAATACTTATTCATAAGAAGACACATATGCAGACAACAAAATAAAAATTTGATAACTATTCTCTAAGCTTTTTTGAAATAAAAGGATAAAAAAGATAAAAGTTGTTCCATAAATTCATCAATATACTTACTGAGTAAATCCATATTCTTCTGTATAGAAAAAGAAATTTAACTATATAAAATATGTAAATACAAACCCAATTAATTATGGCCAAATGATAACCTATATCAAAAAAAAAAAAATGCCAAAAAAACCTGCCGATTGCCCTGGAAATGCTGTCATCGTTTTCAGCGTTCAGCCAATTTCCAAGTTACACTCTCGCTTCCTCAGTCTTCACGACAAATCTAATTTGTCTCACCTGAACTGTAGCTAAAATAAACAAGTAGTAAAGCAACAGTATAAAAGATCGCGTCAACAAATACAGCAATATTTCAAAGAACACAATATTCTTTTAAAAAATTTAGAAAGAGCCATATTTTCATTATTGCAGAACTACATACACTATTTGATCAATGCAATAAAACTTCACTACTTATAAAACTCAAAAAATAGACGAATTCTTATAGTTCTATTCTACCACAACACCAAAATATTATTTTTCTGAAATGGTATTTCAAATAATAAAATCATCAGCACTTAGACTGGTTTACTGAAAAAAATAATAACAGAAAACTGTTAGAACTTGGAAATGATCGACAGCTTTTAAGGAGATTAACATACAGATATCTCAATACATTAGTGTGATATGTTTGAACATTTTAAATACAGGAAATAAAAACCTTGGACAATTACAAAAAAAAAAAAAAAAAAAAAGACATTTCCTATTCAAAAAAATTAGCCTAATCTTTTACCTAATAAAATTAACAGATAAAGTTAAAACTTACAATATCAAAGTATTATAATACTATTTAATAGTTATTTATCATCCGAATATTAAATTAAAAAATAAAGAATGAGTCATACAACAAACTGAATTCAAAAATACATTAAAAAGCAAATAAGCATTGCTTTGCAAATACTATTAAATACTAAATAAGAACAAGAAGATGATTTTGACAAGTTTAAAAAAGATTTAATTTTTTCGGGGAAGCTAACAAACAAATATCTCAATAAAAGGCTGAGGAAGACATAACAAATAAAAAAAGAAAAGATAACAAAATTTCTAGTACAAATATCTCCAATAGTTATCCTCTTTTCTATCAATCTTCACTCCTTTTTCCTTCATACTTCACTTACAAAAAAGTATATAATTTAAAGACAACATTCTTGTAATGTCTTCAGCTTAAAAACGGACCTTATTCTATAACTAAGGCATGTTTAAAGTTAAATTTCATAACACTGTTAATTTGACTTCTTAATTTCTTTTTTTCTACTAAAAAAAAACCTTCCCTTTTTTTCCTAAAAAAGCAAACTAATTCTCAGAAAAATAATCCTCAAGGAATATTTCCGCTTATTTTTTAACAAGATTTTTTGATAATACAATGTATAGCAAAATCGAAAAAAAAAGTGTAAACAGAATAAAATCATTTTTCATCTAAAAAACGAACTATAATTTAATGGGTATATTTTGCAAAGCGAAGAAAAAACAAAGAAAATCTTCTGAGTTATAAACAAGCCAATTTTTCAAATCTTACAGTAATAATTATATTATTTATTAACATAAAAAAGAAGAAACTTTATGAACAAATGAAATGAAAGAAGGAAGAATTCCTTCCTTCAAGCACTACAGCCATTATCATCCATCCCCATCGACCGTATGCACACTACCAATCACACAATTCACAATCACGCCTTCAATAAAAAAAGAAAAAAAAAAATCATATTTTTACGAGTGAAATGCTTCTCTACAATAACTGCATTCTTTTGTCCTTCGTATCACCGTTCAAATCGAAAACTAACATGAATTTAACCATTACAAAGTGTATCAGAAAATGTCGAGATTTATGTCTGAAAACTATTATTTATAATTCTAACAAATCAATATTTTTTTATAATCATTGTCGTATTTTTAACCTATATATATATATATATTTCTTTTTTTTTAAAGAAAAAAAAAACACTAATGCAATCAGAACTTTTTAATTCAAATTTATTTACAATATCCATAATTAGTAGCAAAGAAAAAAAATTCAAATTGTGCTTCAAAATGATAAAAAAAAAATCATCCAAATGATATCGAATATCAGCTAATTTAGTAACAACTTTTTGCTAAAAATTCTAAAAACATCAAAAGATATGATAAAAAAATGTTGAATAAAATATGCAAATAAAGAGAAAAGAAAGAATCAATTCCACAACAGAAAATGTCAGTTAGTTGCAATCGATTCCTCTATCTCTTTTTACAGCCAAATACTACCATTTTCATCGTAATGCTTCCATCACTTATAGTTGAAACAATTCCCACTACTCCATTTTGTTATTTTAATTTGAAAATATCAAATTCGAATTGTTTAAATGCATAATATCATTTATCTTTTTAGTTTATTAATGGAATCAAATCTTCGTGGTATGGAAAAGGTTAGCAAATCATTCAGCAAAGTGTCAATCACATTAGAAGGCTTAATACAGTCTAATTCCAAAAAGAAAAAAAAATTCCGTGTTTAATTCCATAAATTAAATTCTACAAATAATTTAATCACTTCACAGTACTACCTGTCTTATACAATTCACAGCATAACGAAGAACACTTTCTAGAAACATGTTAAAGGTACTACTCTAAATTCATAATTAAAACATATACAAAATCAAAAAAGATATATACAAAAATATATACAAACTTGATCTATTTCAGAAGTTAATATTAAGATGAGTTAGCAATTTCTCTTGTAAACCCTTCACAATTATTCCTTGCAAACTATGCTATTTCCACTCGCAATTTGTAATTGTCCCTTAAAAATTGTACTACTTTAATTCTGAAATTATATTTTAAAGAAGACAAAAAAACGTTTCAATTAAAAAAAAAACCAAATATCAACATATCACTCAAAAAATTATATTTTAAAGAAGACAAAAAAACGTTTCAATTAAAAAAAAACCAAATATCACTCAAATTCAAAAAAAAAAAAAAAAAAATTAAGAAAAACTATAATAAAATCACCCGAACTTTATGACATATCACGCAAAAGACACGTCAAATACAAAATAGGTAAAGCTGCAAAATAGGTGAAACGGGCCAAGTTGCAAAAACGTGTAAAGTCATTAAACAAGCGACATACAGGTAGAATCCATTTATAATAGTAGTTCTACAGTAACCTGAAAAGAGTTCCAAAAACATAACCCAATATAAGCGCCTAACATATCTTTAAAATAAGACTCACACAACAACCAATAAGTGCTATCTCAGTTTTATGCCTTTCCACCATACTACTCATTTCCTACACTTTTATATTGTCCGTAAGGGTAAACAAAATAGCTCAAAAAATGCTCCAAGTAACCTTCCCAGTATGATATTATTACTTCACGCACAGATATATTTATTTGAAGTAAATTATACATATAATTCACTAAATTCTTCTTCAACTTTAACATTTATCATCTATGCATTTACTATTTTCATTTATATCCCTGCAAAAATTTCAATTTAATTTAATTTCAACTTTAGGTGTTAATTTTATAGCTGTAATTTACAATTCTTTAACACTCATAAAATTCACATCTTCATTAATCTATTCTCAATTGTGCTTCTGCAAAAATTTCAATTTTAATCGTTAATTCTTTGCAGCCATAATTGACATTATTTATTATTATTATTATTGTTATTGTTATTAATTATTATCGAAATACTCATCCATCCTATTCACCAATGTAATTAGTAAAATTTATCGTTCATTTGTTGCAATCACTGTATGCAATCATTAAAATATTTCAGAAAAGATGAATTTCATTTAAATAAAAAAAAAAAAAAAAAAAAATGGAAAATGCTTCTATCTTTTATATAATATCAATATTATATTAATAAATGTAAAACTCTTAAGCTTATAATTTAATACAGTTTATTTATTCAATAATTTAATGAAAAAGAAAAGATAAAATAAAGTTTTTTGTAACATGCATTATCATAAAATAACATGAAATGATATAAATATTAGAATGATAAATTATCGCTATCTATTTTACTCGATGATCTTTTCAAGTTTTTTTAATCGACATGATTTTATTTTTATTTATTTGTTTTTTTCTTTTGTTTTTTTTTTGCTGCTAAAGCATTTACAATAATTTCTCGAAAACTCAAAAGATCTGTACCTGAAAACTAGTAATTAAATTCTTTAAATTCTATATAAACAGCAAAAATTTTCGAAAAATAGCATTTGTATTGAATCGCTTGTAAATTTTGTAATGTAAATTAAATGTGAAATACAAAAAAGTATGCATAATATCTAACATATTGCTATTATTTGTATGGTATATTAATCAATAACAGAAAGAGAAAAAAAACGGGCGAAGTGAAAAGAGTGAGAATAATTGTTAATATTAACATTTCTAAGTTAGGATTGAAATATTTCTTTTAAATTTCAAAAAATTCAAGATTAAAATTTGATTTTAAACAGTAATAAATAATTTCATCAATAAAATCATTAAAAGTTTACATTCGTGCTTATCATATTGAGTTACGTAATGAATTGTATTCATAAATATTGATATATGTATGTATAAGTAAGAAATGACTTAAAATAATCAATAGTTTAATCATCATTAACCAGAATAGTGTTATCTAGAATTGTATGCAATAATTTGAAGATTACATAATATTTTAAATAAAACATCATCCATTCATTTCTTGTAAATTCTTTAACAAAAAGACCTAAGTAAAGTGACAAATCAGGAAAGGAATTTGAAGACTTATCTAATATTAATTATCGCAAAATTATTCATTCATACTAAAATTTTCGAGCTAATCTTTCCGCCAAAAAAAAGACGAATTTCGAAATTCATCGAATATTTTTTAAGAAAGTACTGTAAATAAAAGGAAAAAATTTTTTAATATAAACTAAATGTTTTAATTATAGGAAAAGAAAAAAAAAAACAAAATAAAGACTTTAAGTGCTTATATATTTTGCAAAATAAAAAGTTTTCCAGCCAAAAAAAGATTAATTTTTTATTAATCTTTTTTTGGCTGGAAAACTTTTTATGAAGTTAAAGAATTTAGTTTTGTTTACCAAATTCTTTAGCTTCACAATAAAAAAAAAATACTTATTCAAATATTCCATTATCAATCGATTTGAATTTTTTTAAAACGTGATTGCAAGCATAAACGTAATTGAGAAGTGGTAATTATTATTGACGTTATGTTAAGCGAAGAAGGCTTTAGATAAAAACCTTCGGATAAATGAAATGAAATTACATAGTATAATCAATCATAGTATTAAATGATAACATTCATAACTGAAATAATTACAAGTATTTACAAGAATTGAAATATTAGTGAAATAATTCCATTATAGTTAGGAATGAATTGTTTTAATTTTTATCAGTTAAATTTATCAATGTGAAATAATCCAATAATTAATCAAATCATCTAGTTACAATGGAAAAGGCATCTAGTCAGAAAGAGAAAAAAGAATACTAATTTTTTTACTGTGAAAATTTTTATTCTTTTCATCAGTCAAAGTGATAAAAGCTTTAAACAAATTTTTTAAATTTGTTTAATTTTTTTTTTTTGTTTAAAATTTTTTTTTTCGAATTTTTAACAGCTTAAAAATTGATAATATACATCAGTGAAATAATTGCCTTATAACTCGAAGGAATTCTTTTAACGTTTTTCAGTTTAAAAAAATTAGGTGTAATAATTTCATATGTATATATAAATTACATAAGACATACTACTGCATTATCAATTAAATTACCACTGTATGAAAATATATGATAAATGATATAAATGATTTTTTGTCTAAGATATAATGCTTTAAAAATCTGATCAAATCATGCAAATGAAATATTTGCATGAAAATTGAAAATAATAATTGCGGTAACAACGAAAAAGTTACCAGTAAAAAAAAAAAAAAAAAGAAAGAAAAAAACAAAAATGATCTATTAAAGATAAGAAATGCTGTAATGTTTAAGAAATTTATATAAATTAACTAAATAATAAATATCATAACAAAATGATCTATTTAGCGAATAATTTATCAATCAAACTGAATCAAAGAGTATATTTTACAAATAATAATGATTAAAATTATCAAATTTGAGAAATAGCGTCAAATTAATGGAATTCATTTATGAGAAAAAAAAAATGAAATAAAATGAAAAACGTAAAATAGCATTAAGTTAAAAAAATAAATGAAAATAGAAACGGTGGGAAAGGTTCACGTGAACGGTTAACGTTTAAATTGCTAAAATCAGCAAAATCCATGAATTTCATTCGTCGTTCCTGTTGGGAGTTTTTTTTGGTTTTGTTTTAAAATATCACTGTGTGTTTTAAAATGATTTCTAAAAATTTGCTTAATTATGCGTTTGGTAATCGATTCTTAATTGTATGATAAGTTTTATTCATTTTTCCATTATATTTCAGTTTATGATTTAAATAAAAGTTTATTAGAATTTTACAAAAATGTACAAGTGTTTTGGTCTTTTCGCTTATTTTCAGTTTATTTTCGTTTTATATTCAGATATTTTCACCGCTGAATCAATGACAATGACGACGCGACGTCCGTTTGTTTATTGGGCACAAGACGAAAGATTACTTTTCCTAACGATTGATTTAAAAGATTCATGGGTTAGATTTTATCTTTTCATTTCTTTTTTACCTTTAAATACAAAATCTTATATGATCAATCATCTTTTTTTCTTTTTTCTATTCTTTTTTTCAAATATCAACAGATTATCATTTATGCTAGATTTGATCTCTTTGATTTATTATTAATTTGAAGAAGTGAACATTATATGATTCGATGAGACAGAAACATGTTTTCCTTCTTTTTTATTTTATTTTATTTAAGATATGATAGATTAATACTTGATTCGCATCTTTTTTTCATAATCTTTTTTCAAATTATGAAATCATTTTTATTTATAATTTGGGTGGAATTATTTATCAAAATTATTTTCAGGATGTTAGTTATGCAATAACGGGCAACTCTTTTGAATTTCGTGCTACTGGAGTTGGTGCACATGGTCGATGTGAATATTCATTTCAGTTATCATTATTTGCAGATGTTGAGCTGGAAAAAGTAATTTTTTTTTATTCTCAAAATTCTTAAAATTTAAAATAATCCTTATAATTCTTAAAACCTGAGATTTTTCTTGTATTTATTATATCATTTATTTATTCCTATATTATTTGACAAAGGAAAAAGTAAAAGAAAATATTATTAATTGCAATTTGATAGCTTAGTTCTCTAACAGCAATCTTATTTGCAAATTTTAGGCTGGTCAAGGAGGTGGAAACAAATTGTTGTATGTTTTGAAAAAAACGAATGTTATGTGGTGGCCTACTATTCTTAATGATGGTAGTCGATATTCTTGGCTTCGAGTAGGCAAATTTTGTATTTTTTTGTGCTTTTGTATATTATTTTTTGTACTCTAGTATGCTTTATACTTTGTTTTCGTATGGAACATACAGAATTGTAAAAAATATATTTTAAAGTTTCAGTGGAATTTTGGTTAAAGGAAAGAAGTTAAGCGTTAAGTTTTTTCTTTTGTATTTCAGTTCAAATTACAGCTTTGAATTAATTCTAAATTAATTACAAAGGAAGCGGAAAAAGTAGAAAATTTGCTTTCTTTAAATTTTCTACTTTATTGAGTGCTATATACTGGTAGTGTAATTTTTTTAAGATCGATTTTGATCGATTCCAAGATCCAGATGGAAGTGATACAGAAGACGAGTATGAAATGATAAGTATGAATGCAGTATGTATTTATTCTTTATTGTGATGTATTAGGAAATTGATTCCATTATTTTTTATTAAGTCATGAACTTCAGATTTTTGTTGCAAATTCAAGTATTTATAGCGCACACCGGAAGCGCAGATGGATGCAATAACACAGCGTATTTTAAATGAATGCCGCACTAAGTCAAAAACGAAAACGGATTTTATCAATGATGGTCATAATTTTTTGCTTATTGTGATTCTATTATCATTAGTTTAAAAGAATGTTTATTTTTTGTTATTATATAGCTAAAGAAAAGAAAAATTTCATCAAAAATTTATGAATTTCATTTCAGTAAAACAATTCGCTAAAAAATGCAATCATTTGCTGATTCAGTACCTTTGTGCATATAACATAACATTATTTATACTTCATGTATACTTATTGTTCACTTTAGTCTTCAGTTTCTTCACTATTGGAAATGGTAAACCTATTTTTTACATCAATTAGTAGAGAAATATGTTCAAAGAAATATATATTAAAACTTAGGTGTGATATTTTTTTATTAAAAATTTTGATGATTTATAAAAATTTTTCGATGAATTATATAAATACCTATTGCTATACAAAGTTATCTTCATCTCAATATAGTACTTTTTTGTTAATGCATAAGTATGAAATTTTAAAAAATTTATTTTCAGCATATTACAATTCATTCTGGCAAAATAATGCCAACATTATAAAAATTGCAACAGTTTTACAGCTAATGGATGTTGCACATGCACTGATGGGCTATACAAAAGGTAGTTATCGAGTTGGACTTATACAGGTTAAAATACGCTTTATATTTATTACTAATATTTTCTTATTTTAAGGAATAGTCAAAATTACTATAGATGAAATAATACTATTGTTATTACTAAAATGAAAATTTTATTTCTTAATATTTTTCTTAAATATTTTCTTCAATACTTAATTCTTAATATGTGTATTTTTAATTCTGATAGGTTTGTGGACGTTTAGTATTCATATATATTATTGATGGCTGTCCAGATGTGCAAACTTCATCAACAACTTTCATTTTAATAATTGCATATTTTTCGATTGAAATTTTCCGGTTTGTTTCTTTTATAAAAAAAGAAAATTCTATCCTATGAGTAGACATTATGTTTCAGTATGAATATTTTGGTTCTTTGTCTATTTTCTTCTAAGTTTTTTCATGATTTTTTTTAAAAGTATAAGGGATTTTATCTATTACATACCTGGGACGTTTACGATATGTCAGGAAAGTTTTCACTGTTAAACACAAATTAAAAATTAATTAAAAAATTGTCGATCTTAGTAAGATTAAGCGGGCAAAACAGTAATACTGTATGAATTTTATATTATTTGGGAAAGAATTGCTTACTTTAGAGAGATTTTTTTGATATGAAGTAAATTCTTTATTAACAGAAATAGCAGTATAATAAAATTTATTCTTTCTTAGTCTTCAAGGATAGTAACAGTCATAACGTAAACACGGAATGGAGGAATTAATGTAAGGCTTAAATATCAATTAGGAAATTTAAAAAGATTTAAGTATCAAAATTCCTTATTAACAGCCGAAATCATAAAATGATTTTCGTAGAAACATTAGGTAGAAACTATAAACATTGTTGGAAACAATGTATAAAAAGTTTACTGTAAAACAAAGAGTGTACGTATAAACATGCTTAAAACAAAGAGTTTATGTATAAGTATTATTTTCGAAGGATTCACTAACCGTATTTCCTACCCCCAACTTTTTTTTTTTTTAATTTTCATTTATATTTTTATTTTCAATATTTCAGAGTTTTGCGATACTAAAATTTCTCGACATAGACATCCATTTTTTTTAATGTTAATAGAAGAATTTTTTGATTCAACTAAACAAATGTTTACTTTTTAGATATCCATACTATGCGGCAAGCAGTTTAAAAATTGAAATTCCATTGCTTACATGGTTACGATACAATGCATGGATATTACTTTATCCAGTTGGTTTACTTCTTGAAGGTAATTTTATATTTCATTAATTTATCATAAGCTTGCAATCAATTCAGCATTTCTATCTTTGATTGCATATCATTGATTCGATTATTGTTATTGACTAGTTTACAGTATTTAATCTCGGCATTTTGTAAAACCGTCTCTAAAAGCTTCTTTATTATGTTTATCCTTCACCGAACATTTTTGGGATGTTTGTTTATAGGTATCGTAGGTGAAAACATTGAATTTAATTTTTTCTGGCATATTAGTAAATTAGCCGCAGAATATGGTTGGATACAATGAGAATAGCATAAATCGTTCAGATTTTTTGATTTTTTTTTTTTTTTTTCTATTTGCTGAAGAAATTTTTTAAAGATATAGTAGCTTCAAATTCCTACACTTTGACATTTGTTATTAACAAATCAGAGTGTTGAACAATGTTTTTGAGATATTCCAAACTTCAGTTTATTTTATATTATTGGAAAGTTTTTTCTTCTTTGTGTCAACAGAAAAAGCAAATAGTAAAATGAAAAATAAATAATGTCTAATGAATTTCATCATTTTTTCAGGTGTAACGATGTATCGATCTATTCCTTATTATTATGAAACTGGAAAATATAGTATTAAACTACCTAATGCTACAAATATTGGCTTTAATTTTAGTTTTGCTCTTGGCATCTTTTTTCTACTTGTGTTTCCTTTTGGTACGTTTTCTTTTGCATTAATCATAATTATTCAAAGGAAGCTGTATTTGCTACCAAACTGGTGAAAATTAGCAATTGAAATTTGTTATTTTAATCAAAAATAGTGCTAACAGTCTTAGATTACTTTGTAATTAATAATAATAATAATATAACTCGTAACTTTCAAAAGCTCGAATTTGTTGTAAATTATTATTAATCATTAATGATTTGTTAGTTCTTTCTTGTTTATTCAATGTTTATTCATATTTGATCAATTTCAAACGCATTTCATTTATTATCTCATCTCTTTACAGCACTAAAAATGTTTTCCAAAGTGTTGAATATACGCAAAAGTTCACTATTAATTTATGACAGATTTAAGCTCTTCGACATGAAACTTATTATTTAATTTAAATTTTATATCATAGTGAGCTGAAATTATTTTGTCTATGATTCTTTTTCAAAAAAAAAAAACTGCTATTGTTTAGATGATATTAATTAAATGATAATTTTTACAGTGGCAGTATACTTATTGAAGCATATGTGGTTGCAACGATGCAAAAAATATGAAGGTTTGGTTAAAAAACTGTAGTAATAAGGATTAACAGATTTATCGATATTATTGATTGAAATTAAATATTCAGCTTTTTCACTAATCTGGAAAGGTCTTTTAAAAAAAGTGGAGTATATCTTATGCAAAGAGTTACACATTTTGATATAGTATTGAGAAAAAAATCTCAACTTTTGATGTTCAAAAATCTTGTTTTTTAGAATTAAAATAAGCATACTCTTTGATAGTGTCAAATATTGATATATCATTAATGGTTATATAATTATTATGTAGGAAATACTCATTTTTGAAAATGATTCTTAATCTTATTTTTTCTCCTTTCTTCAGTTTGACTTTCAATGGATGCATATATTCTTTGCATATTTTATCACAGATATTGTATTTCTTTCAATTTTTTTAATTTCATTGTAGCTTAAAATATATGTAATTGATGATAAATTAGCAAGAGAAAATTATGAAGAAATAGTCTAAAGAAATAAAATTATTGTGCAAAAATACCTTGTTTGTTGATTAGATAATTATTTTATTAATTAACAGTTCTCGTTCTTCTTACATTGGATAAAAATAAAAAATTAAAAAATATGTACCGTTCTGTATTAAATACTATATGAATGGTATATGATTTTGATCGTATAATGTAGTCCTTATTTCCTTAGCAGTATTTGTCTTATTCGATATTTTATTTAATTAGAAAATTATTCAATTCTATAGGATTCATTTCGTTTTTTTTTTTTTTTTTTTTTAATGAAATTGTTAACATAAGTAACACTTGTATTATTGAATGCATTTCTAAATAGAATTTAATTTGTTCAGATTTATTTTTGTTTTTTATTTGGAATAAAGAATTTATGAATTGTTTAATAGAAAAGCTCTACATATAACAATAAATGGAAAAATAAGAATTTATTTTAGCTTTTTTTAAGGAAATTACACTTACACATTAAAAATTATTCTTATGGTTATCTTTTTTTAAAAAAAATAAAAAAGGATTAATAGTTTACTTGAATTTGTATAATATTAAATAACTTCAGAATCATATTAAAATTACAAGTAATGGTTATGCTTTTTTGGATCAATATAAAATTCTTTAAAAAGTCTTGAAAACTTCAGAAAGCAACATGTATAACTATAAATAACTTGCATTTCCTATGCTTTTTTTTTTGTTTTGAGGTTTTATTTTAATATCATTTAGGGTGATTGGTTATCGTTTAATTCGTTCAAAATAAATTCATTTTATATATTACAATTACTACATGCATTAGATACTTTGTATTTTTTTTTTATTTTTTAAAAGTATGAGTTCATAAGTGTTTGTAGTTTGTATAAATTTAAATTTAATATAAATATATTACAAATAATATCGTAATTAATTAATTAGTCTTAGAAACAAAAGTAATCAAATAAATGAAATATTTTTCGTTAAAATTAATGAGTATTGAATATGTTATTACATCATTCATCTTAAATTAACATATGATCATATGCTAATTAATAAATGCAGCAATATTTGTAGTTTCATCAAAAGTTACTGATATCAGTTAAAGAGTCATTATTTTGATATAAGAAAACAATAATAATTGATAATATCGAAGTATTTTCATCAATTTCCTTCAAATAATATATTTCAATGATACGTATTACCATTCATCATTATTACATTATTGTACTAATTTAAAAAACAAAAGAAATTGCGTTATAAAAGAAATTACATTATATACATCAAAATTATAAACTAATTTAGAAAAAAAAAAAAACTGAAAGCTTTAAAAATAAAATAACTGAAAGAAGAAAAAAGATTGTATATTTAATCATATTATTTGAAAGCAGAAAATATAATTTAATGTTTTAGGAATATAAGGGTTTATTATTATCCATTCTAAATTAAAATTGCACAAATGATTGTCCGATATTTTTTTTCTTTTTTACTGATCATTAAATAAATTTTGATGATGAATATTTGATTTGAAAAATGACTTTCTTTTTTTCATTTTTTCCTCTCTCCCTCTTTCTCTCTTCCTCTCTCTTCTACTAAATACTGTCATCGATTGTAATGACTTTTTTTTTTTCTTTTTTTAAATTATTCCTTTTAAAATGATGAATTGTAAATTGAGCAAATGAAGTGAAACATTTTGGTAACAGTACATTTACTTTACTGTATTATTAATTTAATTAGTCATTAAAAGTAAAATTGTATTACCAGCGGAACATTTTTTTTTTATTTTTTATCAACACATTATGTTAAATTGTGATGAATTATTTCGATGAGTAAATGAGATAGAAAGAGAGAGAAAGAATGGAAAAAAAATTTTTTTTTTTTTTTGTAGTAATATGTTGTGAAAGAAACTAAAGTGGTATAAATTGGAATAAATAAAAATTGTTACAGATTATAAAATAAAGCGAATCAATAAATCCATTGATAACAAAAGTTGAAGAAAATGTGACATGAAAAAAAAAAAAATATATTGAATGAAATTTATGATATATCATTTGAAAATATATGAAGGATTAGAACGATTAAGTCTTGATTGTTTCAATTTTTTTTTTTTTTTAAATCGAAATAAAACTGAAAAATCTTTTTTCAAAATCAATTCAGATAATGAATTCATTTTAATTACTGTTACAATCAAATATTCCTAAATTGTTTGTCAATTAATAAATTGTTTGGGATAGTTTTTAAATAATTTTGCTTATTTTATCTTATCCTAATCCACTAATAATTTGAAAAAATTACGACCATTTTTTGTCTTAAATTACTCCATTAAATATAATAATTTTACTTATATACTTTTCTTATATCACTAACTATGAAACTGTAAATGTTAATAACTTATCGATATCTTTTATTTAAAATATTTCATTTAAAATATTTTTTCTTAAATTAGGTAATTTGGAAATCTTTATTCAAATAAAAATATTTGTTATAGAAATAATTATTGTTTATCAACGGATTACTATAATGTAACTAATAGCTAGATTATTTATATCATATTTTTATTTATTTACTTTTTTTTTTTTTTAAATCAAATATGCTGAATTAACAATAGAAAGGTTGAGAAAAAAAAAGAAAATGTTTGAAAAATTAATTTTAATTATGAAAAAAAATTGCATTGCATTCAATAACGATATATTACGAAATATGTAAACAGATTATTTCAGGTTTTGAAACATTAAACAAAATTTAATTACTGTCATCAATTAATTCAATTGATGAAAGAACGTTTAAACATTAATTTTTTGATCTTTGAGGCTACAATAACCAATTAAATTTCAGTTCATTAATTTTATAGCAATTTAGTGGGGTTTTAATTTTTTATCCTATAAAAGTGAATTAAGAAAAGAGAGAGAGAGAAATTAAAAAACCTCAAATATAATAGAATAAATTAAAAATTCTTTATAGTAATTGCAAGTTATTCATCAAAATTTTACTTTCTTTAAACCAATCATATATTTTCACCATCGTACTGAAATAACCAGCGCAAGTATATAAATAATCATAATTAGACTATTTGATAATATAGTAAAACATAAATAAGTTGTTTTATTAAATTATAGTAATTTTTCAAAAAAAAAAAAAAAAAGTAAAAAAAAAAGTAAAAAAAAAAAAGCTTAAAGAAAAACGAAATTTTTAGTTAACCAGAAAAATTTTACAATGACAATTTCTAAAATTTAAAAAGACATTTAAAGTTTTAGGTAATTTTCATAATTGTTTCATTAATGAATATTGTCAAAAATGTAAACATGAATAAAACATACTTTCACCATCACGAAAACAGATGAAGACGAAATAGAAGAATTGGTAATCCGATACTGGATGTCTAAATTTCAAAAAAAATTTCATATTTAGTCTTTTTTTTTTTCAAATACCTTTATTCTTTTCGTTTATATTTTTGTGCTAATTATATTTATCATTGAAAAAGTACTGTTTTATTGTTGTAAATTATTTATCAATGTAAACTGCTAAAAAGTTGTTTGTAGAACTGAATGTAAAAAAAAGAAACGATAATGTCAAACTGATTTATCCTTTTTGATCAAAATTATCAATTATCATAGATGATTTTATTATTTTGCTACTTTGTTATAAAATGATTTCTTTTTTTGTTCCATTTTTTCGTTTTAGAACGAATTACGAGAATATTTCATGAAGTTATGCATTCCTTCCAGTACATTCGATTGTCATTGAAGTAAACATCTCACGTATATCATCTCGTACTCCCAACATTTTCAAACACCAAATCCATTCGTCATCACAAATTACATTTTGTGCAATTTTGTAATAAATGCATGATTGACATATTGTTAATGAAAAATGATTCAGAAGAATCTGCTATTTTTGAGAAGATAAAAACTAGAAAAAAAAATTAATCTTAATTTAAAATCTTGTAAAGTAAAAATTTTCATTCTTTAATTAGTGAATTAATTTCATACTTTAATGTATTATATTGATACATGTCAAATACTAGATTAGTAAAAGTTATTTAATGAATAAATTTAGCATTTTACGTATATTAAACATTATATAAATAAAAGTTAATTAATAAGTAATTATCACATTTTTGCATAAAGTAAAAAATTGATATGTATTAAATATTTTAACATATGTTGAATATTTGATATATATATATATACATATATATATATATATATATATTAGACATCAAGAATATATTAAATATCAAGTTAATATTTTTTTTTTTTTTTGCATTATTAACTAGTCTTTTTTTTTTCTTCAGCTTCAATTCTAAACTAATTTAATAATTTTAAGCTGAATTTTATTAAAATTAAACTTACAATCAATTTACAAAATTTAAACTTACAACTGAAATAGAGAAAAGTCCCACTGTTTCATTATTGCAAAAAATGCTAAAATATCCACACAAGCAGAATGATAATATGTATTAAATTTGATAAGGCATTAATTGTAAGCCATAAGCGGTGTATGTTGAAATAATCATTATTGGAAGCAGCAAAATGCATAAAGATTGTATAGCATATATTGCTGTCTCAAAAAAAAAGAAAAAAAAAAACAAACAAATTAGTGATAAAAACTTAAATTAGTGAAGTGAATTTTTCATTAAGAAAAAAATATCATTTAAAAAAAACAAAATAGTGGTAAAAATTCAAATTAACAAAGCGAAATCAACAAAAATGAAATTATCATTGAGAAAAAGATTATCACTAGAATACTCATCACTAATTTAAATCTTGCAATAATTAAAAAAAAAATTTGCTCTTACTCTTTTTAATATTTTTACATAAAAAAAAGCGAAAAGGCAGAAAGGATTGATTTTTTATAGGTAAATACAATTTTTAAATTTAATTGCACTTATTATTTAGTCAACAAATATTTGATGACAACAATAAATGTTAAAATGAAATGTTTTTTAAATTTTTATGTTAAAAAAAAAGTTATATTCAAATATACTAAAAAAATATAAGCAATTTTCGCCTTCCTTTTATTGTAATAAACATTCGCCATACAATATTTTTTATTCATTTATTTATTTCTTTTTATTTCTGTGGTTTATTTCATTTTTTAGTTATTTCATGTTCGTTTCGTTTTGTCACCTCTTTTTCTTTTAAAATTTAAAATGAAAAATGTTCATACAGTGATGCGACAGCATAAACATGCTAAAAGATAGCTTCCACCTGTGGATAAATTAGAATTCTATAAAAAAAAAAAAAAAAAAAAATTATAATGAATTAAAAATGATCTAATAATATTATATAAAATAGCTCATTTATTTTTCTCTTTTCTCTTCAATTATTATAATTAATAAAATATTCGGAACTGAATGTTTTGCTTCAGAGAGAGCAATTAATAAAACAAGTGGTCAATTGCAATTGTTTAAGAAACAATGAACGACAATGATAAGAGATAAATTTATCATTGTATACTGTAATTCTTGTTTTTTTCGAGAAATATCAAAAAATATTTCAAATATATTTCTTAAATTAATTTTGTAAAATCTTAATCTCAATTATAAAAAAGAAAATACTCATCAGTTCCTCCATTCAAAACTTATTGTTTATCTTATCAATAACTTATAGACATTAGGAGCATATTACTTGTCTTATCAGCAGCTGATAAACAATTATCATGAATAAAAATACATGGTGATTTATCGGTCGATATCCAAAGAACAAGCAACTTGGCTTTTTTAAAAAAGCTTTTTTTTTAAAAAAAAAAAAGATATCGTGCTTATTTACAAAACTAAAAAAAATCCAGGTAAATTTACTTAAAATGACTTTTCATAATTTTTCCTATATTCTATTAATTATTGAATATTTCATTATGATGAACTATGCTAATGCTGGATACAACTTGATTAACTAATTTTGTGATAAATTCCAATAATGATAAATCTATTAGTGATGGAGAAAAGAAAATTAAAAAAAAAAGAAAAACAAAGGTAATTTAATTAATATTTTTTCTTGTGGTTATTAATCTCCTCGAAATTTAGTAAATTACCATTCTTTGAACAGTGTTAATAATGAATTCGGAAAAGCAAAAATAAGACAATAAATCTAAAGTTGACTAATGACCGACAAACAAATAAACAATCAAACAAATAATCATAAATATTCTATATTACGAACAAGTAATTAATTACCCGAAATTTTAATTTTTATTTTGTATTTATCAGTTATTATCAATAAAAACATAATAGAAATAGAAATTGTGTTAAAAAACATCAATGATAATTTTTAAGATATTATTAATATTTTAATTTCACTTTTTTTATTTTTTTGATATAAAAAGAAAAAAGTTATCGGGAATTTTTTTTCGTTTTTCTTTTTTTTTTGTTCATTACACAGCAGCTGATTTAATAAATAGAAAAAAAAAAAAGAAAAATTATGGATTGATGGGATGAACAGGAATGAATGGAACGTTGAAAGAAATTAAACCAGTTCGAACAGAACAGTAATCAGTTTCCAATTTTTTTTTTAAATAATAAAAATGAAAAGAAATGAAAAATAAAAAAAGAGATGACAACATTACCTGTTTAGTTTATTTATTTATTCATTTCATCTTCGTCGTTCTGTAACATTAAGTAACAATTTTAAAACATTTCTGCTAATAACCGGTCATAATTAATTATTATCTTTCGAAACAACTTTTTCCTTCTTTTTTTTTTTGCTTTTTTTTCTATTTTTTTGTTGGCTATAAAAGGTATATATTTTTTGCAGCGTTATTTTAAAGAAAGAAACTTTTTTTGTTTTGTTTTGTTATTTTTTAAAATTTATGTTTCTTATTTATAATGTTGCTTATTTGTTTGTTTATTTTCTTCGTTTCTTTTAGTGGCATTTAATTTGCAGAAAATAGAAAAGCGCGTTTATTAATTTTTACATTATTTATTTAATATCACTAAAAAAACTTGTGAAAAATTTTGGTTATAAATTAATTTGAATCACAAAAGAATTTTATAATATATATATTAAGTTGAGAAGTTTGTTTAATTGTCATTAATAGAAATTACATTTTTGATTCCATTAACAATAGAAAGGTAAAGAGAGGAAAGGCAGAAAGGGAGAGAAAGAGGAAGATAGAGAGAGGAAATCTTCTTGTATGTGATATCATACCAAAAAAAAAATTTAATTTGTTTTAACAAATTAAATCAAATTCATATCTCCTAAGAGTAAATTTAATTTTTAGTGTTAATTTTTTTTTCCTGGAAATTAAGAGGAAATAATTTTTGATTTTCAGAATAAAACAAAATTAAACCACTATAATTTTGAATACTAATTATAATGGATAATGTTACCATAGTACGAAATAAATTACGAATTCGCAATGATTTGATGCGATGTATTCTGTCGGAATTCACCAGTACTGCTTTTTTTGTGGTAGAAATTTTCCATCTGACTATTTTTAATAAATTATTAACGAATTTTTTTTTTTTTTTTTTTTTAACAAACAACGCAAAAGAAAAAATTGTCATACATTTATATATTAACATGAATTGTTAATATATTGTATTTGTATTTTGTTTGTTCAGTGAATCGTAAATTTCTTATATTAAATGATTGCTATTAATCCATCTGTTACTTATTTTTCCTCTTTTTTTTTTTGTTATTCCAATTATTTAATATAACTTTAAATTTCACATCTTTCCAAAAAAAAAAAAAAAATCAAAAAAATACTTATATTTGGATGATAAAATTTTGTGAGGCACGATAACTCTTTTAGAAGTAGAAATGTCTTATTTCACGCTTTCAAAGAAAAAAAAGTTATTTTCTAAAAAATAAATTTTCTAGAAACCTATTTTTTTCATTTCATCAATAGTATTTCGTTTATGTCTAAGTTTGTTTCTTTCTTTTTTCCTTCTTTCTTTTTCGCTTTTGATATAGCAATAAGATTAAAAAACAAAATGAAAATCTCACCTTTAAAAAAAAAAAAAAAAAACGAAGAAAAAACTTCAAAATTTATTTTCAAAAATATTCCAGCAATCTATTTTATAATATTATGCTCAAAACTTAGTCATTAAAAAAATCAGAAAAAAATTACAAATTCTATCATTTGTCTTTTATATCATTTCTTTCTTTTCATAAATAATCCAAATCAAATTATAATTGAAATGAATCCTACGACGGTTCGTTTATATTTATTATCATTTTTTCTTAGCAGATAAATAAATTTCTTTAATTTTGAATAATTTAATAAATATAATTGAAATAAATTTCAATTATAATACCTAATCTTTCATTTATTTCATTCAAAATTTTCGTCAATCATTGATTATTACTTTATTATTACTGTTGTTACTACAGTAATAAATTAACTAGTCATAAACAATTAAAAAATTATTTTGTTATTATTACATTTCTATTACCAATTGTTGATTATTACTTTATTATTATTATCACTATTAATCTTATGCTTCATCTTCTTCTTCCTATTATTATCATTATTATTAATACTGTTATTATTATCATTATTATTATTAACATTATTATTATTATTATTATTATTATTATTACAATAGTAATTGTTATTTAGTTTGCTGGGACATCGACAAATGCAGTTAATCTACTCGAAGGTGCTAATTGCAAAATTTGCGTAGTCCTTGGATGGGCTTTAGCAATTGGCCTTGGTGCATATGCAGCTGGTCATTTATCAGGTACAGTTTCATAAAATATTACAATTTAAACATTTTAATTAATGTAGTAAAATTTAGACATATTCTGATATCTTTTATGTCTCATTTTAAATATATCAAATCGTATAATAAATAAGTATAATAAATAATTTTGTTGACTTTAATAAATTTCAAAAATTAATTCCAAATAACAATTATAAAATTTATTTGTTAGAAATTTATTTTTTTTTTACTTTTAATTTGATTTTTTTAAATTGATTTTATTAGGTTAATATTAATTATAGTAAACTTTAATTTTACTTCATATAATTAATTTCTTTTAAATACATATGTTAAATTATTTACATAGCTTCTATAAGAGAAAATAATAAATAATTTTGTACTCTTAGTGATTAATTTTATTTGAATGTAATATTGGGTTATTTTTATCATTTAATAATTGTAATAGAATTTGATGGCAATTAAATTTTTGAAATTATTGCAGGTGGTCATATGAATCCAGCAATATCGTTTGCATTTTATCTTTGTGGCCATATATCAGTGTTTAGATTCATAATGTATTCAATTGCTCAAATATCTGGCGCATTTGCTGGTAGTTTGGTCACTTTTTTCCTCTATTATGGTAATTATCATTTTATGATTTACTGATAATAAAATCATTATATTGCAGTGATTATAGGATCATATAAAATGTAACATCACGATGATAAGCAAATGATAAACATTAAAGTAATGAGATATCAAAATAATAAGCAGATGGTAACATTAAAAAAAAATTATTACCTAAAGACTTGTTTATACATTGAAATGTTTATACATTGTTTTTCTTATATATTTAGTTTATATTTTTTATATTTTTTAACAAGAAATTTTAATGATAATTTTTTTATTTATAATTTTTTAAAAAAAGAAGTAATTGTGGAAAATTTTTTTTAAAGATAAAATCAATCATTTTGATCATACTGAATGTTAAATAGAATTAATCAACTAAAAAACAACTAAATAAAGAGTTTTATAAATCTTTTTAATATCATATTATGTTTTAATTTATTTAGCAAAAGCAAGTTAAAGAGGGAAAAAACAGTTCTTAATAATAATTTGTATTAAAAATACTAGAATTTCAAATATTTCATACTAGAATTTTCCATTCTTTTTCAAAATCGTCAATTTTTTTTAAAAAAATTTAATATTATAGAACTTTTTTTTGGAAATTCGTGTTTTTTTTTTTTTTTTTTACTTTCTTCTTAAAAATTATATCAGTTGTTCCCCATTAGTTTTAATAATATTAATTATATCAATTATTTCATTTTAATTTTAATAGTGCTTATAATAGTAATAATCAATAGTAATTTTAATAATTGTGATTTGTAAAATAATTAAAAATTTACTATTTGTTATTTAAAAGTTATTTGACTTTTTCCTTCTTTCCTTTTTTTAAGATGGAATAAATCATTTTGACGGCGGTGAGCGTCAAATTATTGGTCCACGAGCAACAATTGGAATATTTGTTCCATGGCCACAAGATTATTTGAGCATTTCTGGTTGCATCTTTGATCAGGTTCCTTCTTAATTCTTTATTCTTCTCTTTTTCCTATTATTATTTCGAATCAAACAAAATATAAACTTATGAAGTACTAATATATCATATTCATATCATCCAATTTTCATATCAAATATAAAGCAATGTTATTATCAATGTTGTTATTATTTTAATTTTTGTACTATTTTTCCAAGAATATGGATTAAATTCTTTCCTATTAGTCATATTTCATCAGCAATATTTATCATATTGAAAAGCAAATGCATATTAGCACTATTCTATTTTTTTTTTATTATTGTTTTATTTTTATAAAATTATGTAATTTTTTGGTACTTCTATCATTTTCTGCAATTTATTTTTTTCAAAAAATGCAAAAGTTTTTTTCAATTTTTTTTTTTTGAATTTTGAAATATAAATTAAAAAATTGTCATTTTTATATGAATATTTGTAGTTTGTTGGCACAGCACTCTTAGCATTCTGTGTGATAATGTTTACTGATCCACGAAATAAAATTCCACCAGCGGTGCAACCGGTAGTTCTGATCTTTTCAATTATTTTAATTGCTGTATGTGTTACGGCAAATGCAGGTGGCGAAATTAATCCGGCAAGAGATCTCGGGCCGAAACTTGTAGCATTCACTGTTGGTTATGGTTGGGATGTTTTCAGGTTTGTTTTTTAATTTACCAAAAAAATGTAAAATTTCAGATTAATCAATACTTAGATTTTAGTAACATTTAGTAATAAGTAATATTGTATTTCATGAAAGATAACTTAACAGTGATTCATGATTTTCTCATTGTTTTCTACAATTGCACAGGCAAGAACATAAAAAACATTTCCATTACAAAAGAAAAAAATTTTAATCTATATGAAACTTTTTTTATAACAAATTTAAGAAATCCAAATATAAGTGCCTTCGTTTTTTTTTCTTCTCTTTTCTCCATTTAAATTCTACTTTTTTTTAAACTTACATTTAAATTCTAATTCATTCCTTTTTTTAGTTTCAGCTATCTTTTTTACTTTTTACTTTCATTTCAGCTATCGAAATTATAAATGGTTTTTGATACCAATCTTTGTTCCATTTGCTGGCGCAGCATTTGGTGCTTGGTTCTACCATTTATCACTTGGTACTCATTCATTATTTATTTATAAAAACGCAACTTTTTTAAATTATGTAATGGGTAAATTGGATGCTTTATGTTTAATATAACTAACATTTTATCATCTCAAAATGATAAAAGTTCTAAACAGAGATGTTCTCATGATAAAATTAAATCAGATAAAAGAAAACAAAACAAATTTCATAACTAGAAATGTAGCTGCGAATAAATGATTAAGATTAGTAATATGTTATAATTATATAATGTAAAATAATCGATCACTGCTGATATGATAACGCTCGACTATTATATCAGAATAACTAATCAACTTATTATTTATAATTTTATTTCATTATTTTATGTTTATTATATTTATTTATGTTTAAATAAGTTACTGAAATATCGACAACTTATCAATAATTTGTCAATAACTGTTGTTCATATATCTGAAGATCTGTTATATGATGTAAAACAATCGACCATTGCTGATCAATCATTATCGATTATTATACCAGAACTTACCAACTTGTTATTCAAATGTTTAAACTTTTATTATATAATGTAAAATAATTAATCATTGTTGATTAATAATTATTAACTACTACTGTCTTTGATTATGTGATTATTTTATGCATAGAATTAATATTTTCTTAAATATTTTGTTCATAATTATAGGAATTCACATTAGCGACGATAAAGATCAATGCAAAACGGACGATCGTATGGAAATGAACGAAGTGAGCAGAGTAACAATAGGTAAATCAAGGATAGCAATTGCAAAGTGATAACAATCATTTGATTAAAATTTAATAAAAAAAATTTTGCATCTAATTTTTTGGATATTATTATATTTGTAATTACTGCAACAATTTAAAGAAAATACGAAAAAAAAAAAAAAAAAAAAAAAAAAAAGAAAATGAAAAATGAATTGTTGAAATAAATTTATAAACAGTTAATAGTATTTTGAGTATTTTTGACAAAATTGATTATAGTAATTAAATGCTACGTAAATTCGTTAGCTATAAATAAAATGAAAATTAAGATGAATGATAATATTCCTGCTCAATAATATATTGTATTGTGATTTATCATTTCCAGTAGAAATTTCACAACAATTATCTGCATACATTAGGTTATTCACATTGACAAGTATTTACAATGAAAACTGCGCTTGCTTAAATTCTTGTAGTGTTGTTTCCTTCAAGTTGAATTCAATCAATTTTGTTCAAATTTAATCTAAATCTATATTTACGAGTTTTTTTTTTTTTTTTTCACGGTTACTTTAAAAAAATTTTTTTATTCGTTACTTTCAAATAAGTGTGTATGAGTGAATTTTATAGTTTTATATATTTTACTCACAAATATAGGTTTAAATTCATTTTAAAATAACATCAATATTGCTTCTTTTTAAAGAAAGGAAAAAAAAGAAAAAGAATAACGGTGAAAGTTGATAATTAGTCTTTAAATGAAATTGTCACGCATTAAAATTATCATCCTTAAATTAAAAACATATCATTCTTAATTTAAATGTAAATTTTTTAAAAATAGCAATGTCATCTTTCAATCATTTAAAAATTTCAAATTATAACATTTTTTTTAAAAAAAAAAACATAATAATAAACATTTAATTATCGTGTATATTCACATGTTGCTGTTTCAACAATTCGTATGACACCAATTTCTGTCGAAATCCATTGTGAATTTTCATTACAAGTAATTAAACCAATTGCTTGTTGAGTATTTTGCACTGCACCAGTTGCTCCAATATTTGTACCAGATGGACCATACCACTAAAAATAATTAAAACTTAAATCTTTATTTAATTAAATTCATCAATACTTACAGTTATATATGTTTACATCTAAATATAATTAATTTATTCACTCGAATTTACCTGTATTGTAATTTCTCTTGCTGTAGGATTTGAGCATTGTAGCACTGCAAAATTACATCCATCATTATTTTGCCCATATGACAGGGTAATATTTTCCACAAATATACTAGTAGAGTTCTTTATTATTAAATTTGTTTCGAATTGTTTGCATTTTCGACACGCTGCAAAATAGCAATTTGCATAAATGGTTAAAAATTTTTTTTTGAAAAAACCTAAGTGAAAAGAAAAGAGAAGAAAAATCGTAAACAAAAGCAGTATTGTGTGAGAAAAAAATTGGCTTTGTTATATTTCAAAGGATTATTAAACAAAATTTGGAAAAAAAAATTCTTTTTAAAAATTTAAAAGATTTCTTAAATAAAAAAAGAGGAACACAATTTTTAAAATGCAAAATAATTGTTTTGAATTTTTTTTCATTTTGCTTCTGTATTTTTTAGGTTTTGTTTTTCTTTTTTCACTAATTGCAAGTATAATAAATAGAATAAAATGATGATAGTGATAATGTGATTAGTAAAAGATTAGTGACAAATTAATGATTTTTTTATAAAATATAATTTGAAAAAAAGAAATGAAAGATAAAAAATGATAAGATCAATGATTTATTTAGTAAATATTATATAAAAATTATTTGAAAAATAAATTAATCAGAATCTCAAACATAAAAAGAAAAAAAAAGAAAAACTTACCATTAGGATCTAATAATGCAGATGGTCCACAAGCATTTAGACTTATAATAAAAATGATGGAAAATATAAGAATAATGTTCAAATTCATTTTTGTACAGCAAAAAATTATCACAACTAAAAACAATCATATTCAATTAAAATTTAATTATCATTTCAATCTTTAATTATTAGTTATATTCTACTTCAATCTCTAATTTTAAAGTACAATTATATTCTATTTTAATCTCTAATTATTAGTCTAAAAATTTAACGACTAATGAAATAATTTCATTTTTCAACTAAAGCAAGATCATTGATAATTATCTAACCTAGAGTTTTATGCAATAGCAAAATAGAACGAAGTATTTTGCTTATTACTTTAGCATTTATTTTTATCTAACAAGGAAAAAAAAAAACAAATTACAATGTTTCATCTATTTGTAGCATTAATTTTAAGAAATTGTTATTTTAAAACATTATATTATCATTTGTAGAAGGCCGAAATTATGTTGAACCTATTTGATAAGTTTTTTTTTTTCTTAAAGCATAAGTTTCTGATCATTGATAATCAAAAATAAGGCAACAAATGAAATGAATTCTTTATTTATCAAAAAAAATCGTTGCTTTCTTATTTTATTAATTTAACGAAATGGAAGTTGATAAAAAGTGTTACATTTAATAAATGAATAATGAAATATATTATTTTTTCAAAAATAATTTCGAATTACAACATTTAGAATATTGTACAACTAATAATAAAATTTAATGCTAGATTATATTAATATAAGTTCATTTGTATCTGATTAATCAAAATAATGGAAATTATTTTAATTTTTCGAAATAGTATTAAAACTGAAATCAATTGCCGATAAGATACAAATAATATGAATAGTAATTTGTTATAATTTTTGATAAGAAAATTTTTAAAATTAATAATATCAGGACAATGAATGTTAAAAGTTATTTTGAAGCTAAATGTTAGAAGGAAGCATTTTAAAGCAAAATGAATAATTTCTTATGTTATATCAATAAGAAAATATGAATTAAAGGGAAAAATGTAAACAAATGATATTCATATTTTAAGAATATTTTTTAAAAAGCATTTATTTATTTATTTGTATTTTATTTTTTATTTTTTCTTTTCTTTTAGATTTCTCATAAAGTTTTATAAATAAGCGTTGTCGTATGATTTCAATATGAAAAAGTTTTACAATATAAGCTATAAAAAATATGCTATTAATAGCATAAATGTATAATAATAATATTAATAATAATAATAAATAATAAATAATAATAATAGTAATAATTTGCTCGTATTTTATCAGCAATATATTTTTTTCAAATTACGATTCAAAGATTTTACATAAATTTAATTATAAATATTACAGTAGCACTATAACATGAATTTTGGGAAAAATTTTTAAATTATCCAATGTTGAGGAATAATTTTTAGAAAATTCCCAATGAATATTGCAGAATTTTGCCAAATATAATTTAATTTTTAAAAAAGAAATTAAAAAAAGACAAATAAAAAAAAATATTTGCTCAATGATTGCAAAGAAAAATTTAGTAAAACATAAAATGTTTTATAATGGAATTCTTTTTTTTTTTTTTTTGTTTAAACGAAAATTTTCATTGAAAACTTTTTTTTCATTGAATTTGAAAATTTTCTGATATTTAAAATGAAAAAAATAAAGAAAGATTTATTCATTATAAGATTTATTTATTGAGCAAAATTAAAGAATATCCTTGTTAGAGATAATTAGTGAGTAAGTTCATTGTCTTTTTGTAGTTCCGCAAATGAATTGGATTTGGGTCAATTAAAATTGTTATTAAATGACTGCAACAAATAATTGTTGTTAATCAAGAGACAAAGAAAGAGAGAGAGAGAGGGAGATAGAGAGAGGAAGAGTGAAAGTTAGTGTTATTGATAATAATAATTATTATCAAAATGTTCTTCCTTTAGGCGGTGCAATTGTTTGCGATAATTTGTAATTATAAACAAATTTTGCAATTTGATCGAAAGATGTTCGCAGTATTTTAAACTATTACAAATAAATCATTGTCATTTGACTAAAAGAATTTCAAAATTATCACAAAACAATTGTCATTGTTTAATTTGGATAAACAAAGATTAATTATTTTATTGATAGCTTTTCAAGTTCAATTCATCATTTATTATCTTCTACTCAATAATTTATATCCTCATTTTTTTCTTAAAAAAATTTCGTAATTACAACAATATATTAATGTAGTAAAATTATTTCAATTTTTTTAACGTCTTTTTCTTATTTCTCATAATATTGATAAAAAATTTTGAGTAAATAATTGCTTTTCAAAATAAAATTTCTTTAAAATTTTAAATTTTCAGATAAGTTTTTTCCTCAATCATTTTTAGCCGATGTTTCATAGCATAAACTCTTTGTTAGATTAAATGAAATAATGACCAATTTGGCAGCATCCGAAACATATAATTAATCGTAAAATTAATCGGAAAAAAAAGTAAACGTTTGAAGTTGCGCATAGATTGAACTAAAAAAATCATATGAGAATAGAATCATCTATGAAATATTTCTGCGGGTAAAATATATTTCTACCGACAAGATGTCTTTCTTTATTTTTACATGCAAGACCGGCAAATTACAGGAAGGTATGGGAGAATCAGCAAGTATTCCTATTATTAAACATATTTTTTTTGGTAATTAACATTTTTTGGGCTTTGTAAACTTTAATGAATATTTTGTTTTTTTTGTTTTCTTTTTTAAAGCTTTTTTCAAATTATGGAAACATTATTTCTTTAAAACTGTCATTTCCGTCGTGTTTTCTGTATGAATTATAATTCTGTAGCTTTGATTATGCGATTTCTTTCATCACGAAACTACATTTTGTCACAGAATACCTTATATTGCATTAATGTGATTGATAATTGAGCAATCAACCAATATCTGATTTCTTTTCTATCTTTTTATTTATTATAAAAAGGAAAAAAACCTGCAATTCACAGTACTTTAAATTATTTTTTGCCATAATTACCACCATTACTTTATTATCACTATTAATCAATCTTATCAGCTCGATAAATTGAATATAAAAATAATTTCCACTGATTCAGTGATAGAGCAGCTGCAAAAAACTGTATTTCGTCATTTTTGATTTTTAAACTCTCGAATATTAACTTTTAAGTTTAAAATATTTCATTGTAAATGAATGAGCTGGAGAAAAATTTTATATAATTTACCTACTAGGTAGGTAAATTAATTATTTCTTCAAAGCAGTTCTGTTTTTCAAGCATTCTGATTTATATACATATATAATACATTTTAAATCATTTTCGTCACTAATATAATTACTATGTATTTTAAATCATCCTAAAAAATGCATTTTAAATCATTCCTTTCATTAATATAGCAAAATGTATTTTAAATCATTATCTTCATTAATATAATTATTACATGAAAATATTCATTAGCTCCCAAATGAATTATGATTCAGAAAGTTAAATAAAAATGTCAATTAGAATTAATAATATTATCATTTAGTGAAATATAAGTTATGGTATTAAATAATCAATGCAATTATTAAATAGTTAATCATACTACCTTAGTTAATAATCTGATTTCATTAGTTATTGTTTCATTCTCTTTAACATTTACTGATATTGCTATCTTGTCACTAATATCTCATTGTTCATTCACATCTATCAATGATTTTTACTATATTCTCACTTCAGTTCGGAGAAAAACAATTTTTAAAGCATAAAAGTCGATGCCAACTTTTTTTTCCTAATTTCCTAACTGAAAATTAAATTTGGAGCAGTTGAATAATTCTAAAAAAATTTTTTTTTCTGGGTCAGTTATCATTTTCTACATAATTATAATTACTTTTTGTTCTACCTTTATTTTTCGACAGCAAAACATTAATAAAAAAATTTTGCTTTGTTTAACAAACATCAAAAATTGATCAAGAGGAAAAAATTTGTATCAACTACTTCATTTCCGTATACCTTCTTATTCATAAATTTACAATAATCACTTAATGTCACAATAGAAAATAATTGATAACTTCTTATATTTTGATTGAAGCATTATAAGTGTATAATTTTGATATAAATTTGTTATGTTCTAGATTTCATAGGGATTGAAAGAGTTAGAAAGAAGTAAACTCTTGCTTTTAAAGTTTCTTTTAACTTAAATTAGCACTTTCTATCAGGAAAAAAAAAAGAAAAATGTTGCATTTAGTACTTTTTTTTTTGGTAAAGTTTCGCTAAAGAATGTATAAATTTGTTCTTTGGTTACAGTTATTGACCAATTATAAAATTGTTTTTAACATACAGTGCTTTATTTATTATCATTTTGTTCTGGAATGGAAGGAGAATAAAAAGTTCCAATGTTCTATCATAATTGAACTAAGAAAACAAATCATCATTGCTTATCAATACGAAACTTTAGCATTACTTTTATCACTGATTACAAATGAAAATTTTTATAATTCAGTCATATTATTCATATTATTAGTGAGAAATAAAACAGAAAAGCAATTTTCAAACAAGTAATAGTATCCAAATAAATGCATTATTATAACTGTTATGTGAATAGACATACACCCGCTTATCATCCGTGGACAAAGAGACTAAAAGTTATCACAAATTTGTCAGTTTTTTTCCCTACTCATCTCATTAAAAATGAAATTACAAATTAGCTATCAAATTTAAATAAACAATCAATTATAATACCACTTTTCTCGATTAGTTTTAACGCTTAACTCATTTTTTTTTTAAAAAAAGAAAAAAAAATTTTTTTTATAGCAATTAATGATCAATGATTATCGAAAAATTAATGATTACCGAAACAGGAGTGAAAGACATTTCCTCCTTTTCTCGTTAACAACATTCGTTGTGCAACCAACACCATAACAAAAATAACGTTTTGTAATCAGATGGAAAACATATACAAAGAAAGTGGGATTACATTAAAATGCACACTTTTTTTTTCAAATTACTGACAAGTTTCGATTTCTTTAACCTCAAATAATAAATGTTATTTCAAAAAAAAAATTACAAATTTCGATTGTGAGTTTATAGTGAAGCAAAATTTAGGCAAAAGTTGAAAA